GATCAATTGCTGTTATTGACCATGAACTAATTAATGTCATAATTGTTAATCAATTCACAATTCTCAACAGTTTAACAATTAAACCAATTCAGGCCATTTAATTGATTGAACAATTAACTTAATTTCATTGATATGATTAACAAGAGACACTGATGATGAAAGTTGAAAATTGAAAGTTTTAATTGTAACAAATAAGCTGCCGGGCAATTTACAATTGACTTAATTGTAATTCAATATTATTGAAAATCAATCAATCAGTCAAACCCAAATCTTAATTAATGAACAACAACAAAAAAAAACAACAAATTTTATTGATTTTATTTTAGTTTAATTTCATTGACCAAACCCATTGATTAAAAGGGTCCACAGAAGCTGATTAACGATTAAATTGTTCATTAAATTATTGAAAAATGCTCGTTACAATTAAGTTAAAATGAAAATCATCGCTAATTTGATAAAATGTAATCAACATCAAATAAGGGAATCAATTGAAATCAATCAACTTTTTATATCCAAAATTTGTTTTTCAACATTTTCTTTCTTGTTGATTAACACCATTCATCATGTAATTGTAATACTAATCATAATCATGATGATAATCATGTTATTGTAACATCAATCCAACTGTAACTTGATTATTAACACGAAATCAACTCCCTTCAAGCAATTAAATTGTGTTTGTTTTTCATCAAACTAAAACAAACGAATCAAAGTTAATCATTAGTTTTACATATTCAAAGGGCGTAAATAGTGATTAGGAATTAAGCTTTAAACATCTAGTTTTGAAAATAGATTAGTTCAGTTAATTGATTGTTGTGATTACCATCATCATCATGATTACGATGATGATGATCATCATCAGGGTAATTAATTATATGCATAATGAATTACTTAACTTAATGATTATGAATCTTTTTTTTTTGTTTATCTGATACTTTTATCAATCAAATTGATCACAAAATTTGATTGTCGATCAATTTTAAATAGCTTTCCAGTTGATATTGTATTTTAATTACTTGAATAAATTGTTTACGAAAGAAAATCAATTTATCTTGATTTTAATTACATCGAAATTAACTAAATTGGATTAATGATTAATCAAAATTTTTCCAATTCAAATGAAACTGAAACAACTTTTTTATCGTAGTTTTTGTCATCAAAAATCAGAGTGAAGATGATGAAAAGTTTTACTAAGTGAAAAAGTGATGATGAAGATGAAGATGAAGATGAAGATGAAGATGATAGTGATGAGGATGATTATCGAGTGTGTTTCTTAGCTTGAAAACCGTTAGTTTTTTTAGCTGTTGATAGAAACTAAATGTTGGCCTGAAATCGCTTGAGGTCAAATTTTTCGCTTTATTTACTTCTTCCGTTATTTTTGTTGATGCAACGTTTATTTTTCATCATCTCCATCACCATTATCTCTCATCAGCATCATCTTATGATGTTCATGTTACCTGAGTTTAGCTACTTGCACAGTAACAATCATAATTAGTTTACCTTTTTGGTGAGAAAACAATTGGGTTGATTGTTAACAAGGCTAAAGATAGTTAAAGATGAGGATGATGGTTTTCCACTTTTCCACAATTCTCACTCATCATAATCATACCAACAGTAAACAATTTAAATCAACTAACTGTTAATATTAATTTGTTGTTATCATAAAACAATAAAATCTCACGGAATTTATTGTTTAATAATAGTTCCATCTTAATTATGATAATAATCGTCAACAGATAATTGTTATTATTTGTCAACAGAATAACATAAATTAGTCAAACATGAATATCGAGCTTTGTTCACTAATTATAATTATCAAAATTAAATCATCCTCATCCCCATGATAAACAATCAGATTCATTTCCAATCAACTTAATCCTTCATCCAGAAAGTCAACTAAATCAAGATTATTTCATCAATCAATAGCTTCTAATCAAATCAAATTAGTCTATCGTTCAATAGACACACCTAACGATCAGGCCAAAACCAAAATTTGAAATTCCCTTCATGGTAACATTGTAATTTTATTCATAGTTTCCATTCATCTCTGAATATGATATTATTTTTCCTTCAACACTATGATGATATCATTGAGAGAGAGAGAGAGAGAGAGAGAGAGAGAGATAATAATCACTTAATACACAAAAGTATAATCATTAAATTCTGGTTTTTTCATTCTCTATTCATTTGATTCATGACAGATTCTGAATCTATCATGAAAACTGAAAGTTGAATAATCTAATAATATTTACCTAAAAAAGTTTAACTTTGTTTTTTATTACAACCAAAAGTTAATAGAGTTATCAACGTGGGTTGATTACTTTCATTTAATGTTGATGTTTTTTTGCATGTCTGCTAATTGTGATAAAATGTTTAATTAAATGACAGTTTGATAATTTAATGATGAAATGATAATCAACAGAAACAATCATCAAATGAGAGATTGTTGTTGAAAAGAAATTTGGAATTTTTTTTTGCTTTGTTTTGTTCATTTAATTGTATCAAAACCACAAGATTGAATTGATTAACTTGATTACGTTTTAGTTAATCTTAACAATGATAAGGTTGAATGAATTAAATCATTAAGATTAGGTAATTGTTGGTTACCTTTTCATTTGATAAACAATTATTATTAACGATTTGTAATCAAACAATCAAAACGGGAATGTAATCAAATTCAAGGTTGTTGATAGTAAATTTTGTTTTTTTTTCATCATTCATTTAATTTTTACTTGTTATCATTAAATTAAAGGCTAATTGACTTGGGTCAAGTTAATGGTCAAGTTAATAACAATCAGTGAAAGTATAATTCAATGAAAGTAACAATGATAATAAACAAAAAGCTAATAACTCACATTGAATTTTCATCTCAATCAGAATTCAGTTTTTTACTATTAAGATGAAGATGAAAATGACAAGGTCATCTGTCCATCATCAGGATGATGATGATGATGATGATGATTATCAGGATGAAAATAGTGAATATGAGTTAATCATTTTGATAATAATGCATCTTAAATGCTACATAATGGAAATGATTAAGAGGCAATGGCCGTTGGATGTTTTTACCTTTTCTAATGGGTGCTTGTGATTAGTTGATTGTTTGGACTCTAATTGTTACTATTCTGATGAACATTAAACTATCACATGCAAAGTCACGCTTTTTATTATTATATTTATATTGTAAACGATATTCTGATAATCATAATAATCATCATCATGTTGATCATCATCATCACTTTCCTTGATTACTTTACTTTTCATTCTGGTTCCATTCATTGTAAAAGTTATACTACTTATATTGTTAGACTTTTGTATTAATAATTAAGAATCAATGTCAATTTTATGAGCATAATTTGAAATGAAATTAACATCAATTGATTGTTATCTAAATGATTGATCAATCAAATTGTGAAAGATTAACTTTTTTTTTCTGCAGTTTTGATTACGAGAAAACAAAAGTTCTGAATCATGATGATTACATCCAATGAATTTTAATCGAGACTCTTGGGAGATTCTCATCGGAATAGGAACGAATCTCTCTTTTTTTATCCGATTAACTTTAATCACTGATCAAATTGTTTCCAAAATTAAATTACTTTTTTCAATTGTTGTCATTTATTATCATGTTTACTTTAGTTAATCATCATTAACACCCGAAAAAAGTTTTTCTATCCTTTTGTTTGTTTACCTTTTCCATTGTATTTCTTGTTGGTAAAACTTTGGTAATAAAAAAAAAGTAAACAAAAGTCTTAATTGTCATTTTAATTATGAATTACTCACTCGTAATTCCGGATTTAGACAATTTAATTCAAGGTTAACAATTTATTTTATCAACTGGACAATAGTTAATTGTTTCATTTGTGTTATAATAAACAAAAGGTTTGGGCTGTTGGGCTACAATTAATTAATTTCATTGGGTTACAAGGTAATCATGAAAAGTTGGACAATTAGTTTGAATCTTTGATATTTTTATCATTTAAATTGTTAAATATTTGGGACAAAGTTTTTTATTTAGGTTAATTGTTACCTGATTACATAGACAAATCAAGGAAATGAATTGATTGTTGTTGTTGTTGTTGTTTCTGTTGTATCTTGACCTCGTAACAGGCTATTGACCTACAGAGAAACAGGATTAACATTCAAAAAAATGTCTCACCTTTGACCTGACATGAGATTAGCATTGATAGATGATGATAATTATCATGATATAATCATAATAATCATTGGATGAAAAAAAAATAACATATGAAAACCATTGGAAAAATTTTGTTTCTGCTTGATAAGCGTAACAATTTACTCGACCTAAAACTTAAATTAGTTAATGAAAGGTAATTACAATTTAACTTATATCACTATCAAGGTGAGACAGCATATGAGTCGCAATCAACAATCAACCTTAACAAACCTCTGAGGTTGATGATTAAACGACGATGATTCAGATTAAAAGCTTAATCATTATAAGTTGATTGTTGTTTTTCATGGTTGATAAAAGTTAACTCGATAAGCTTGATTTAATTCTTGTAATATCAACAATCTGCTGTCAAACAATTGGACTTTAATTTTTTCTTCCCTTTATTGTATTAGTTTGGTAATTGTTTAAATCTGCTTAACACTAATTCCTATTGACATTAATTTTTCACCAACAATCAATTTATTATATTACTTTTACAATAAGTTGACATTTCTCTTGCTAATCTTGTAAACCCTAAATCAATCAATAAATTATACACCATTTATTAATTGTTAAAGTATCATAAGGACAATAGGTTATTATTATTTCATTTCATGCAACTGATTAACTAATTGCTATTAATAAATTTTCACCATCAGAATCGTTGAGATTTACCAGATTAATTTGACTCATTAATTGTCATTTGTTTTCCCAATTTTGTCATATATTATATTTCCAAGTAATTTGATTACTTTTAATTGTTTCAATCACCTTAGACTGTAATTGTAACTCATTAAATTAACAAAATTAATAATTTTCATTTCTAAATTGACAAATTAAAAATTTGTTGGAATTTTTTTTCTCGCTGTTATTTTAATACGATCCCCGAATTGATCACATGTTTTTCTGATGAAATTTTCATTTTTTGATTTTGTAGTTTTCATAAATTGTCATTAATTTTAATTATGGTAAGTTTTTTGTGGATTATTGGATGATTATCTTGATTAATTGATTCGATACTTTCATTACTTGTTAATAGGCAAAGTTCATTTACCAGATGATTGTCACTGGAACTCAAATTGTTGGTCGTGCTTTTGCTAGGGCTCTTAAGCAAGAAATGCAAGGTAACCTTTTCGTTGATTGTGATTAAATTATTAATTGTTTTTCTTTTTTGTTTATTGTTAATTATGATGTTTTGTCTTTCAGCAAGTCAACAAGCAGCTCAAAGACGTGCTACTTCAGCTGGAGCCAATCAAGAAAGTGCAACTCAAGACCTTAGACACGGAATTAGTTTAGAGGTTTGTCTCAATTTATTTTGTAGCTTGGACTTTGTTTTTAAATTCTCAACTAATGATTTGTCTTTTTTTTTCTACAATTTTCTTTTCTAGGAAGCAACAAGAATATTGAATATTGAAAAACAACTTAATAAGGAAGAAATAGAGAGTAAATATAATCATTTATTTGAGGTTAACGATAGAAGTAAAGGTGGCTCATTCTATCTTCAGTCAAAGGTGAGCTATGAACTTGAGACCTCAGGTTTTCCTCGATTTTATGCCAATGCAAATTCTGACAAATTGTACAATTTGGTCGATGTTTCGTCGTTTCCATATTCACCCAAACGCTATTACTCAACAAATCCCGCTGAACAAGAGGATGTCTTTACTAAAGCTATTTCCGATTCAAGCTTAAAACGAGCATTCCAGCTTCTCTCTGCCTTAGATTTATCCTCTAGAACTCGAGGTAAAGGTTCAAAGGGTGATGACAAATTACGAAGAGCTTCCGTTTTTGTACCATTTTGCTTAAATGAACAGCGAAAACCTTGTATCTTGGTAACATTGCGATCAAGCAATTTAATCAGCCATAAATGGGAGGTGAGTTTCCCTGGTGGAAAAGAGAGTCGGAAAGATGGCGGAGATATGGTTGAAACTGCAATTCGAGAGACAATCGAAGAGCTTGGTATTAATCGAGAATCATTGAAAACCTATGGTGCTCTTAAACCTTTGATTAGAACTAATCAAAATTCATCCGTTTATCCAATCCTCGGCTATTTGAATAATGATTTCTCCAAACAAACTCTCAATAATTTTAATCCTTCCGAAGTTGAAAAAGTGATCTTATTACCATTGGAGAAAGCATGTGATGCCAATAATTGGAATTACACTCGCTGGAAAAGTGGTTGGATTACACCAGTTTATCATGATGATGTATTCGATGGGCGAAAAGTGCCCAGAATTTGGGGATTAACATCCTCCTTGATTTCCATCATTTTGAAAACTGTTTTACCTGAAAATTTTAAAGGACAATTGCCTGGCATGAAATGAAACCATTACCAATTCCCGTTGAAACATATGTATAATATTAAATATCTAATTATCTGTTTTCCATCAATCATTGTCTTAATTTCTTTACAGGTAGTAAGAGCTAAGGAAAGAATTGACCAAGAATTACAATTAATGGGCGAGAAGCAAAACAAGAGAAATGAACAATCAAATTCATCGGTGAGATAGTCCACAAGGATTAGAGATACCGGTCGATAGTCATTGATAATTATTCATCTTGTTGAAATGTTAACTTCAATCAATTTGAGAAAATTATATTAGATATTTAATCTAATCAATTTATATGTAGAATAAATTACTTTTGATGATTTCATCTTGGAAAATAATTAAAATGTAAAAAGTACAATGTGAATAGATTAATATTATTGTTTTGTTTTCTTCTTTTTCTTTCCAATCAAAAAAGTAAACTAAACTTTTCTTTCTTGGGAACTTTGTTAATTACCAATCGACCATCGTAACTTAATGACGCAAATATCCATGGATCTGAAGATGACCATTCAACGGCATAAACACTATCTTCATGCTCTTCAAATGAACAGATTAATTCATCTTCTAAACGATTAACATGCTGACTAGTGTTGACAGATTTTTCTGTATTCTGGTCAAGAGTATCACCGAGATCACTTTCATCTGGATCACCCAATTGACCGAAAGGTTGAGAGGCCAAACTATTGATACGAATCAAGTTAACTCGAGAATCACTACTACAAGTTAATACTAATTGGTCATGGAATTGATTGTATCTAATTGACCAAACCCAATGGGAATGATTGGCCATAGTTATCGCTGGAATATTTGGCTTACGAACATCCCAGAATTTGTACTCACAATCGTCCCCACATGTCGCCATATAGTATTGAGCATTTGGATTGAAATCCACATCTCGAACTTGTTGACTATGGGCTGATAAACTGAATGCAAACGCTGACGATTTACATCTTATATCTCGAGCGTAAACATTGTTACCTAAAGCGGCAGCGATTATTGAACAATTGGAATGTGGACTCCATCTAATTGTCGTTATTTTGGACAATTTATTTGATGCTTTGTTTGATGAAGAAATTGGATCAATTATTGTGGACCAAGTTGATTGTTTACTTTCTATATCCCAGAGAATAATTTTCTTTTCTTCAAACGTCATTAATTGATTACCATCTTCTGGTTGCCAAATTGAGGTTCGTCCAACATTAGGGCCTAAGTATTTAAAGAAGAGGCAAATTATTACCTGTACTTATTGGTATACAAATGAATTTTAACAAAAAAGGTTTAATTGACTTTTTACCTGATTTGAAATCACTTAATTTAGTTAATGGTAATGGTGAACTGTAATCTTTATCGGCAAGACTTTCAACAATATCATTTGGTAGTTGGTATAATGAACATAAACAATCACGAGTTCTTGATGAAGATGTTGGTGAATAACAGGTAGTAATTAATCTTGGATTCTTGGGGCAACAATTGATTGACCAAATTTCACCATCTTCATGTTTAAATATAGCTTTACAATGACTATTAGATTCTTCAGAATATTCAACAAGATGAATTTGATTTGGTGTTTGAAGTGATTGAGTTCCAATTAAAAATCTTACAAATGAAACATCAGCACCGATTGTTGATACAGATTGAGAGCATAAGGCTCGAGATTGATGTTCCAAACCATAGATTAATGGTGATTCATCTTCACTTGATTTACTAATTGATTCCATGAAAATGGACAACAGAAAACAGATTAATCAAGAAAAAGACAAAATTAAACAAAAAAAAATCATCACAAGAACTTCAGAGCTCATGAGATGAGAGAGAAAAACATAACACCTTTTCTGCGCATGCGCAGCTCAGTTTTTCTTTTTGGTTTTCTCTTTGTTTTTGTTTTGTTTTCATTGTTTTTGAAAAATTCAAGATTCAGATTTTGAATGAATTAAAAATTCTGTTACTTGTGACACTTAATTTAAATTGTGTTCATTAATTGGTTCATTAGTCACTTGTGGTTGATTAAATGTGTGTTCAGGCTATTGACAATTAGCCTTTTCTTTTATCATTGAATCGTTTTCATTTCATTTCTTTCAATATTTTTTTTGTTCTCTCTCTCTCTCTTCCTCTCTCTCTCTATTTACTACTACATCTCAATAAGTGTGTTCAGTTCACTTTAATGGTTCATTTGTTTCCTATGTTTCTTTTCTGTATTTGGTTAATGTTTACCTTAAATAAGTCACCATTTGCTTTTTCTTTCGCATTTTGATATTCAATTTGTTTCTCTGTTCTTTTGTTCATTTTGTAAAATGTATATTTCATCTCCTTCCTTGACTACACAATCTTCTGAATCACCTACACAAGATCTCGAATGTTTCTCTTCTAAACGTGGATGTGTAGGAGATGAGTGTGCTGATAGAACAGCTACGAAATGTACTAATCCTAATGATACTGTTGGTCCTCGTCATTGTTATGTTGTTTGGAATAATACAACTCAAGGTATAAAACTGCGTTCATCTGGTTGTATCTCTGGTAAAGATATTGTTTGTGAAGATCATTCTCGGTGCATTGAAAGAAACCGAAAATCTTCTAATGGTAATTATTTCTGCTGCTGTTCAACGAACCTTTGTAATTATGATGTTCATCATTTACCAGTCCCGGAAGCGAGTAAAATTGAACAATCACCTGCTCAACCAACACCGACATTAACTTACGATTCAAATCTCTTATGGTTATCAATTTATGTTGCTATCCCATCTTTAATCATCTTATTGGGAATCGTTTTAATCATCAGTTGGTATCATCGGAACAAGTCACGAGCTTTTAGTGATCAATTGAGTAACAGTGATGAATCGGTTCCCATTAACGAGCAGTCGTTTTATCGGTTTAAAAATTTGGAGATGATTGAAGAGCGATCAAGAGGTCGTTTCGGTGCCGTTTGGAAAGCCCGATTACCGAATGAAAATGGTTTCATTGACGAGAAATGGGTGGCCGTTAAAATATTTCCTTCGCAAGAGAAAAACTCTTGGCTTGCAGAACAACAAGTATTCATGTTGCCAAAATTCGAACATGAAAATATTCTTCCATTTTTGGGATTCGAGAAACGAGAAAATGATGGAGTCCCTTTCGGTGTTGAATATTGGATTATCAGTGAATATCATGAACTTGGTTCTTTGTACGATTACCTTAAGCATAACACCATCGGATTCAATGAGTTGCTGAAGATAAGTGAAGGTATTGCTCGAGGATTGGCTCATCTTCATGATGAGATTCCGTCGACTAAAAGTATCAATAATAAGCCCGCTATCGCTCATCGAGACTTCAAGTCGAAAAATGTTCTTCTAAAAAGTGACCTAACCCCACGAATCGCTGATTTCGGACTTTGTCTCATCTTTTATCCTGATCGATTACCCTCTGGATTAGGACAGGTCGGGACTCGTCGGTATATGGCACCAGAAGTACTCGAAGGTGCGGTGAACTTTACACTGGACTCTTTGACTCGAATCGACATGTATGCTTGTGGTTTGGTTCTTTGGGAAATATTATCTCGATGCAAGGGAGAAGATGGAACTTTAATTCCTGGTAAATTGATGCTTCCATTTGAAGAAGAGGTCGGAGGGAATCCGAGTCTTGAGGATATGCAGGAAGCCGTTTGTCAGGCGAAAAAGAGACCAGAGATCAAAGCGATTTGGAGAAATTATCGTGGACTAAATGAGATCTGTGAGACAATCGAAGAATGTTGGGATCAAGATGCCGAAGCTCGAATATCATCGAGTTGTGTTCTGGAAAGAGTTAAAGGTTTAATCAGAAATAATTCGAATGAAACTGATTAATCATCTCAACTTTTCAAAATCAAATGAAAATTCAGGAAAACGAAAAAAGCTCAACACAATCGAGTCAAACAAGAAAGAATTTCAACTTTTATCTATCTTTAATTACTACCTCAGGGACTAATTGGACATAAACCCGATATCACGACTTGTGCTCACCTCATTTTTTTCTCCATCAAATTATAAACTTAATAATCATCATCATCAATATAATTATTTTCAAAACGACAAATTGTATTACATCATTAATTGAAACAAAAACTTTTTCTATTCATTGAAACAATCAAAATGTAAATACTTGTATAAACCTCTCTCTCTCTCTCTCTCTCTCTCGATATGTATTTCGATCATCAACTTTTTGTAACTTTGAGAAAAAAATCAATTAATTTCTTTCTATTTGTTTATACTAAGTCATAGAAACTAATGTTTATTCATAATAAATTAGAAACAAAATCATCAACTAATTAATGGAATAAAATTTTTCTCGATTCAATAAGAATCCAAAAGTTTACTTTGAATAAGTTTTTAAATGTGAAAAGTTATTTCAAATGTTGTAACAATTAACTTTCCAAAGTTTCGTAAATTTCATTATCCAAACAATAAAATATCAATTGAATGAAAGATGTTGACAACAATCAAAGTTAATCAACTAATGTTATCAAAGTGAAAAGTCAAAAAGCTTCAATTCCAAGTCAAGAGATGGCGCAAGTAGAGCTACTTTGTTTTAGAATAAAATTAAGATTCGAATCTGAGACTTTTATTCTTGAATCCTGGTGTTTTCTATGGGAGAGCTTTGGATCGAGTCTTGGATTGTTTTACTTTTCCAATTTAGTGATTGATTAGTCATTAATTTGTTATTGTCTATACCAGAAAATTGTTTGTTTTTAATTGATAATTGTAATTGTTTTTTGTTTTAAATTTTAATTGTTCTAGTGTTTTGGAAAGAAAGTTAATCAACTCAATGGAAACTAAAGCCAAAGGAAAGGCCATCAAAGATGATGGTAAAGATAATCAACCTTTTGAGAAAGAAAAGGTTTATCAATGGATAACCCAATTGATTAATATGGAAACTCGAGAAAACGCTTTACTTGAATTGGGAAAGAAACGGGAAATTGTTCCTGATTTGGCAACTATGTTATGGCACTCATTTGGTGCTATATCTGCTCTTTTACAGGAAATTGTTAGTGTTTATCCTGCTCTTAATCCAGCTACTTTGTCACCTCATCAATCCAATCGTGTTTGTAATGCACTCGCTTTACTTCAATGTGTCGCCTCTCATCCTGAAACTCGCAGTGAATTTTTGGCAGCTAATATTCCATTATTTTTATATCCATTCCTTCAATCAACATCCACATCAAAGACTCGACCCTTTGAGTATCTACGTCTTACCAGTTTGGGTGTTATCGGAGCTTTGGTTAAAACAGATGAACAACAAGTTATCAATTTCCTTTTGACAACTGAAATTATCCCACTTTGTTTACGTATCATGGAAAATGGTAGCGACCTTAGTAAGACTGTGGCCACTTTTATCCTTCAAAAGATTTTGCTAGATGAAACCGGCCTAAACTATATCTGCCAAACTTATGATCGTTTCTCCCACGTCGCCATGATACTTGGAAAAATGGTCATCTCATTGTCCAAAGAATCATCACCAAGACTTTTGAAACATGTTCTCCGATGCTATTTACGATTAAGTGATAATCCAAGGGCTCGAGAGGCTCTTCGCAATTGTTTACCGATGCCCTTAAGGGATGAGACATTCGCCGAGATACTTGATGCAGAGAAATCAAGTCGCCAATGGCTCATCACTTTGCTCAAAAACTTGGAACGAGAAGCTGAGCAATGAAAATCTGACTATGTGATCATGAGAAAAACAAATTTATCATGAAAGTTTCTTAATTTAGAGAAATATGATTCTCTATATCTGTCTATCAATCTCTCTCTCTCTCTCTCTCTCTCTCTCTCTCTCTCTCTCTCTCTCTCTCTCTCTCTCTCTCTCTCTCTCTCTATCAAATCCTCTCTTGTCCTCTCTTCTATCCTCCTTCTATCTTAAGTTTCATTTTAAATTGAATTAATTCAATCCATTTTCATAATGTTCATTTTTAAATTAATCTCTTAATTGATTTAACTCAGGCATAAATCTTCAACCACCTAAAGTGATCAACTGCAGTCGAATGTACATTTAACAAGACGAAAACAAAAGTAAATTCGAAACATTTAATTACAATCAAATTAATAAACTACGTAATTACATGTACAATGTAGATGAACTTCTCTGATATAAATATTATACTATAAATATTATACATACAAATCAAAAGAATAAAACTTAATTAAAAGAATCAAATTTCCATTAATTACGTTTTTCAACCTTAAACATTTTCCAATCAAATTGACCAGAGAAAAAAAAAAATTGAAACAACAACAAAGAAGAAAACGAATCAACAATTAAATGATTCTAATTGTTTTAATTTCCCTCCATTGATTTTCCATCAGCTGAATAACCATCAACCAATTATTTACACAATAGGTGAGACGAATTGGTTACCTGAAATTAAACTAATCAACACAATTAGATTAATTCAACTTTTTAATTTCAGTCTCAAACTCAGTTTTCCGATTATCTTAAAAATCTAGTCTTTAATTTGGTTAAAATCTTCCAGTGAAATTAAATTGATTTCATTTCTTTTTTTTTATTTATTGTAATTATTATTTTTTCCTTTTAAATTTTAATTGTTTTAATTATTTTCCAATAATCACCGGAGGTCAATGGAGACTAAAGTCAACGGAAAACCTTCAATTGATGAAAGTAAAGATAATCAACCTCTTGAGAAGGAGCTTGTTTTCCAATGGATCTCACAATTAACTAGTGTCGAGACTCGTGAAAACGCATTACTCGAATTGGGAAAGAAACGGGAAATTGTCCCTGACCTGGCGACCATGTTATGGAATTCATTTGGTGCCATTTCCGCTCTTCTCGCCGAAATAGTCAGTGTTTACCCGACCCTTACACCGGCGACTTTGTCACCTCATCATTCAAATCGTGTTTGTAACGCTCTTGCTTTACTTCAATGTGTCGCCTCTCACCAAGAAACCCGAGGTGAATTTCTGGCCGCTAATATCCCGTTATATTTGTATCCATTTCTTCAGGCCACATCATCATCCAATTCCAAGACTCGCCCTTTGAGTATCTACGTCTTACCAGTTTGGGTGTTATCGGAGCTTTGGTTAAAACCGATGAACAACAAGTTATCAGTTTCCTTTTGACAACTGAAATTATCCCACTTTGTTTACGTATCATGGAAAACGGAAGTGACCTCAGTAAGACTGTGGCCACTTTTATCTTACAAAAGATTCTACTCGATGAAATGGGCTTGAGTTACATTTGTCAAACTTATGATCGTTTCTCCCACGTCGCCATGATACTTGGAAAAATGGTCATCGCACTGGCCAAAGAATCGTCGCCAAGACTTTTGAAACATGTTCTCCGATGCTATTTACGATTAAGTGATAATCCAAGGGCTCGAGAGGCTCTTCGCAATTGTTTACCGATGCCCTTAAGGGATGAGACATTCGCCGAGATACTTGATGCCGATAAGACAAGTCGCCAATGGCTCATCACTTTGCTCAAAAATTTGGAACGAGAAATCGAACAGTAAAAACCAAAAATTCAGTCTACTAAAATTTTCTCATTTCAATTATGCCAATTGGGGTTTTCCACTTATTCCAATTAATCCTCAATCGAACCCTTAATTAGATAAACTCCTTGATTCTGTGATAATTGTTGTTCATCTTTCCACTGATTTCAATGTCCCCTGAAAATGTGATCTGATCTTTAATTGATATGAAATATTAACTTTCTCATACTGAATACTATCAACTCAGTTGATGAGATGAAAATTGAATCAACCTGAACAATTAACTGTTGACCAAAAAAAATTCATTCTCAAAATAAATTGATTTTTTTGTGTGAACAATATAATCAGTTAATTAGATCAACTTTTAATTTAAATGGCTTAATTTATTTTACCAAATTCTTGAATCATAAATATCAATCTAGTTTTTGATTAATTCAATTCAATCAAGTAAATCAATCATCTCAAATGAGAATCCGATAAATTGTTGATTATTTTCAATTGGAAAAGCATTTACTTTATTAAATGTAAATTGATTTCTCTATTAAATTGATGATAATTATCTACTTTTAATTAAATTGAAGAAATACTTTTATTTTAGTCGTTTAATTGTCATTACAAGTTTATTGACAACTTTGATGGAGTTAATTGTTTCCAATAATATCACAGAGATTTGAATGAATAGAAATCTTGATTAATGTTAACAATAGATAAATAAAAATCTCTTTGATGATCCCACGATTAGAATTAATCTCGAGTGCCATGATTAGTGGCTTTGAACAATATTCGACAACTGGTTAAGCTATAATTCAAAATATTAAATTCCTTTTGTAACATATCTAAACGTTTCTCTGTTAATTTCAATGTTTGCGATAATTTATCGTCAATTGTAACCGATGAATTTGATGAACGCACGTTCAGCGCTTGGTCCATTTCTTTCTTGATGTTTCCGTTAACCGATGCGAACCATTGTAAAGTATCAAAGTCGTAGTGTTGGTCCAAAAGCTTTAGGATATAAGCGACACCCATTGGGAATCCGTCGTCGGTAAAAGCAGCTCCAGTTTTATTTTTTCGAGTCATTTTCTCCTTGCTTATAATACTGTTTTCGACATAATTTAATGTTAGCGCTGGGAGAATGACATAAAATTTTCGAAGGTGATAATTGTCCTTTCCTTTGAGTATCTCTTGGAAAACTTGGACTAAAAGACTGTAGTAATCAGTTGATTCACTGAAATTACGATTCAATGTTTGTAAAATGTTATCTAAATTCTGAGCGGATTTTAGACACTCATTTCCAAAACCATCTTCTAGGACCATTGATTTGAAAGAGATGCTATTCAATTCTTCCAGATCAGGTACAAAACTAACGGAAGCCGAGCTACAATGTAAGGCACCACTTCGTAGCATCCGAACGAATCCAAGAGCATTACCAATCTCGGTGATTAAAAGGCGAAATCGATCAAGTAACGTGTAACCTTCAGGGGTTAATCCCAATTTTCGAATACCTTTAACTAGAGCATCGGCTCTTTCGTAAGGAAATTTACCATCTTTTGATTGGCGAAAGTGTTTAAGATCTTTGATTAATCTTGATTTGAGTGGATCTTCAAAAAGAAATTGTGAAAATGAATAGAGTTTCCTTTTGAGAAATTGATAAGTAAAATTAACAGCAGTGTTTATGATTCCAAAACCATGGGTTTGTATTGAATTGGCAACATGGCGAATCAGTAAAACATTGAGATGAATTTTTTCAGATGATTTTTCAATGAACATTTGATTGTTCAAATTATAAAGGTATCGAGAAACAAATATGTGAATATTTCGAGTAACTTCAAGCACATCCAGTCCTTGTTCCAATGTTTGTGTCGGCAATTGACTTTCTAAAAGATCCAAATGATATTTATGTCGAGCCAAAAGTAACATTGATTCGTAGGTTTTACATTCATAAAGTGCATTAGTAGTACTATTATAAGCCATTTCGTTTAAATATTGTTCGATATATTCTTTGATTGAGATCATTCGAGTTAAAATTTTGAAAGGTTCACATGAGATGAGAACAGATAAGTTGGGTATTGAATTTTTGAATGGATTCATCTCTAAGCTCGTACGATTTTCACCAAGACAATTTCCGGAAACTTCATTTCGCAATTGCTCTTCCAATAGGCTGCACAATTTATCCAAATAATTTGTCTTAAAGTAATAATATAGCTCATCATCGATACTTTTCATTAATCCATCTCGCTTTTTGTCATCATAGATAAAGGCGTTTTCAATAAGTGGCACAAAATCAGTAAAAGATTGGAAAAAATATCGAAGTTCAAAAATATTGTTAAGCTCATAGTTGACAGAGTGTCGGAAATAGTTACCAATATGATGGCGATTAAAAAAGATGAAATCACAATTAGTCCAATCTTGAAGTCTTTTAAATACTAAACAAAAACTTCGAATGAGCTTAAAACCAGAATAAACTTTGGCCAATTCACTTTCATTCATCGATTGATTAGCCATTGAGAAACATAGTGATGCTAAAATTTGTCTCTCAGAACATAATATTGGTCCATGGATACAGTTCGAGCCCAAAATGATCGCGGAAAGAACGTCCAATTTTTTCTCAGAGTATTTTTTAACTTCACCAATCAGACGCTTTTTACATGAAGTTAAAGCACCAAGAATGAGGTAGGAATTATATTGAGTTGATCGAGCCAGAATTTGAAGGATTTCACCTTTTCTCCGTAAATAAGTCAGCTCAATACCTTTTAAAATGGCAACTAGTTTACAAATACAATTTAAATCTGATCTGGAAAATGATTTATTGGCATAATTGTGCTGGTGAATAAAATTTTTACTAATTGATGAACATTGAAGAGCCAAATCAAGTCCTTCTTCGATCACTTTGAACTGTTTGTGTAAGGCTTCGATAAAATCTTGCGTTGAATCTTCAACGTCGCCCAATAGATCGTCAAATTTTACCATCCAAAGGTTAACCCGAACGTTGAGAGTTTTTACTTTATCAATGAGGTTCATTTTCAGAGTATTATCTCTCATCTGTTTGAAATAATCGATTGTCTTTTTTTCCACTCGAGCTTTGGAGAGATGTTTGGCCATTAGTTTATCGGGAAAAATGGTACAATTTCCTTTCAGATGAATATAAAGACAATTTATCTTCTTTTGAGACTCGAAAACCATTTTAATTAGTTTTCTATCATCACGTTTAGCCACTCGAATATAAATAATCAACAGGGTATTGATTGCTAACCATTTTTTATCATCTTTGATTGGATTTGTGTCTCCTTCATGAAATTGAACAGCATTTTTGATATACAAAGCAAGATGATCACAAATGATTAAATTAGTGGGTATTGGTTCACTGGTTGCACTGTTAATTGCTTCAATTAGTTGACGGAAAATATTCCCATCAATTATTTCCTTCTCAATTTGAATGGTTAAAGCATGAAGAATCTTCATCTTTTGATGATCATAAGCTTCCAGTTGAAATTCATCATATTTGGCGGTGATAATTTCCATAGTCCTTTTAAAGTTAACAAAATCTTTACGTAATACTGTTTGATTACATAACAATTCCTCGATATTAACAATAGTAACCGCTAATTGTCCCAAATGTTGGAATAAAGCATCAAATCGAACATCATTGACTTCGATACTCGATTTGTTATTAGTTCTTTTACCATTTCTAAGAATAAGGAGAGAAAACAAACATTAATTTCTTCCGTTTGATGTTCACCTTTGGTATATCTCGAGGTGAGTACTTACTTTGTGAAAAGTTCTTGCATTTGAATAGTCAGATTACGAACTACTTCGCAACATCTCTTGATATAACAGAGAAGTTTGAAAAGAATCGGTAAAAGTCTTGACATGGAAAAAAGCTCTTCACCAGCTTCATCTTTGGAATCTTTGGTTAAATTGGAATCTTCTTCTTTCCAACTTTGCTTCTTCTTATCTTCTCCATACAAAGCTATTATTTGAATGAATTCTTTCAATCCAATATGTGATAAATCACTCATTTCACGGCAAAGAGATGACAATACCAATAAGACTCGATTCAGTTCCATGTTACCACAGGTACGTAACAACTCAATAAATTCAGTTCTTTCATGAACAGATTCTTCCAGGCCTGGATTATTGTAAGGTCCATAGTCAATTGAACTATAAGTGTATTGTAAATTAACTTTATGAAGCTCCTCTAGTTTGCAATCAAAATCATTTAAAAATGATCCATATTTATGGAGGACAGAATCAGTTAATTCATCTGCAATTGGAAGAGAGAAATTGTTTTTAGAAAACAGGCCACAACAGTAGGGAGAAAGGAATACATTTCAATCAATATATTTAGACTATAGATTGTAGATATGATTAATACTTACTAATTAATGATCCAATCACTTCTTTGGCAGCCATTTATTGATTCAAGTTATTTATGAATATCAATTGAAACAATAACAAGGAGGCGTTTATATGACCAGGACAGAACGGAAAATGATATGATAAACCAGGTAAATTATACTTGGATATAGACTATTTAACACAAAGATTGTCCATCACAGTCAAATCTAGTTGAGTAACAATTGTTGTCCAAAAAATTACATTGACAATTAAGGAAAAATCAAAATACAAAATCAACATCCAAATGTAAAGATAAACAAAAAGTGAAATTGGAAAAGCAAATTGAACATTTTCTTGCGCCATCTGGTGAATGTATTGTACATTATTCCTCAGGAATCCTGAGTCAGGATAACCTGAAGGTCCTGATCGGACACTGAACTGACCGTTCAATAACTGAACTTCAATTAACAGAAATTTTTTTTTGTTTTTGAGGTTTTGTTTAATTTCATTTGAGTTTTAATTTCATTTGAATTTGAATTTCATTTGAGTTTAATTTCTTATTTGGTAAAGTTGAAATAGTCGCCGTTTGTTTGACGGGAAAATTAGTTCCAATGATAGTTTGACTCATTAGATTTTTCATAAAAAAAAGGAGAAAAGAATAAAATAAAATTAGAATTTTAATCTTTTCAAAAAAAATATAAGTTTGAGATAGAGAAAATAAAATGGTTGAAGTTATTACGACGCAATAATAGCTCAGTTTTAAGGGTAACAAAGAAAAAACTAAGATAACTGTTGATCTATCATAATTTTGGTATCAACTTGATCCATGTAATAAGATGAATAATAATAACACAAAATTTTAATTTTAAATTCACAGGTTTGTCATGAAGAAAAGGAGAAAATATAACCGAAATTTAGTTTGAATCCACAGTCTTAGGGGTCGCTACATGTATTCCATTTTTTTTTCAATTGAGTTTCGATCAAAATCTTGTTAATTGTTGTTTTAATTTCGTTTTTGTTTTGATTATACTTGGAAAAATTTCTCACCATTGAATCATGAATTAATAGGGATTTTCGATTATGAATTAATTCGAATCTTAGAATAATAATCGAACGAGCTGATATTCTATTCATTAATCTACAAGTTTATCGGCGATTTATTATCGATTGTGGTGGAACTAAAAGTCGAATTAAATTAATAGAACTTTTTTTTTATTCGACTCTTATTTCTAACATCGATTCAAATTTGAATTCTAAGCTATCAAATTTCAAAGAGTTCTAAGTTTATTATCCCTCGTTTTGATACTTTTACTAATTGTAGAATTGGATAATCAGCATTACAATTAGAACCTTCAATCTTTACTTCTCATTGATCCTTAATATAAATGAAAAAGGATTCTAATTTTCTCAAGGAAAACAATCAACTAATTTCTCATCGGATTGTTTATCTTTTTCTCCAATGTCTTTCAAATCAGTAATAGCTCGACGGAAACGGAGATCAAAAAAATTCGTGATTCTACCAACTACAGCTATTTGGATTCTCGCAGCTCTTGGATTCTCTTTGGTCATATTAACTGCAAGTATTGGAGGATTAATGCTAATGGTTAAACATAGATTTGATTCACTTTCATCGACAATTGAAAAAATTACTTCTCAAGAAGAGATTAACTCTGATTTTGAACAATACGAAATATTGGCCAGACAAATAAACTCTTCAATTAACTCAACGAGCGCAAGATTACAACAAGAAGTGACCGCGATTTCTCAAGATATTTTATTCGTTCGAAGGATCAAAGACAGTTTCTTACCTCTATCTACACGTGTCGTTTCAATTGAAAATAGCATAAATTCATGGCAAAATTACAATAGAAATGACGCTCAATTGTCATCTGATTGTGCAACTATTCAAACACAAAATGAGGAAATGCAACGACAATTCACTAGAAATTATCAAATATTTTCCAATATTGTATCGAACCCAATTAGCCCACTAACCGATACTGAGTTTCTAGGACGAATAATTCCCTTGGGTTACGTTTATTTACAGTTACGAAATACTCTAGAGCCTAGCCAATTATGGAGTTTGCTGAGATGGACGGAGCTGGAATTCGGTAGTAATGTTACGAATCCTCATTATTTGTCAGTCAATTCGGCGAACAACATTAGTAGATACATGGATTATCGCTCTCCATTTCCCGATAATCAGTTTTATAGTAATTTCAGAGTGGACCTGGTGAAAGCCAATCCTAGAACTAATTACAGAACGAATTTTTTTTTTTTACAACCGAATAATTCATCTCTTGGTAATTTTGGCCTCTCTTTGGCTCCGAACCCACTTCCTCGATTTTTTGGTCCACCCGGAGCAAAATTTCGTCTCTGGATAAGATCTGGTTAAATTGTCATCTTTTTTTCTGATTAAAATACATCGTCATTTTATTTCAAGCTAACCAACAAATCAATTGTTTACCATTTTAGATCAATAGCAAAATCAGATTAACAACTGATTGTTTTTTACGTTTGTCAATAGCTAATCAACAATAATCAACATCATTTTAGATTAAATTAACCTAATATTTTGTGATGATATTGTTTCAGATTGTTTCTTATTCAAATATCTAATCAATTTAGAATGAAATTAATTGATTGTTTTGATTGTTTTGAATGACAGAACAAATTTAAAGAGCTGATTTTTGTTTAGACAATTAAATTTTGTTTTTTAATTGTCAGTTAATTTCCAAGGGGAATTTTTAGTTTACTGCTGAATTGATCATAATAGAAAAAGGTTCCAGTTGAAATTAGGAACAAAACTTTTCAAGATTTTTCGATTTAGTCTCCTCTTGATTCGTACCGTGTTTAAGATTGATCAGAGAGAGAGAGAGAGAGAGAGAGAGAGAGAGAGAGAGAGAGAGAGAGAGAGAGAGAGAGAGAGAGAGAGAGAGAGAGAGAGAGAGAGAGAGAGAGAGAGAAATGATAATAAGTTCATTCATCACGAAATTAGTACTAAATTAAGAGATCATGTCGTTAATTTTTTCGATAATTCCTTTAGAGTAATTTAGTTGGTTTTTCGCTCATTATAACTAATAGAATTGCATAAAATCAGGAAATTAAATTTGTTCTCGTTTCGATCACTTGATGATCAGCTGATTAATTTCACTCACTAATCATGTTTGTTATTTGATTCTCAACAAATCCGATTGTTTTTTAGTTTTTTTTCCATGACATCAAGTAGATTTACACCTGATCATTGGATCTATTAATAGTTGATCAAACTGTCGTTCAACCTTAATTCGTATTGTAAAAAATAAACTAATTGTTGATAATTATACAAGATATTGTTTCAGTTTGTTTTTTATTCAATCTGATGAACATTAGAGATGAAAAAGGTGAGTTACAAGGGGAGGAAGATGAAAGCTGAACCCACTCAGTGGGAGCTTCATGATTACGTATTTTGGTTGCTCTTTACAGTTTTCCAATCAATACAATTGAAAGGATATTGCAAACTTCACAATTAGAGTTACAATTTATGATCAATTTTATATTTGAATGTTAAACTATATGATTTGATCAGTAATTCGTTTTTTTTTGTATGAATATGAAATCAATGAGTTTAAATTAATATTTCCATTGATTGTTGATGTGAATCAATTGATTTTTTTTGTAGCTTTTGTTGATGTTGTTTTTTAAATTAAATTACAAACAATAATTTGCGTTTTTTTCATAGTAAAGATGATTAAAGTTTTGTATGTTAATCATTTGCACAGGATTTTTATACTGGCCATACCCTCAAGCGTTTCATGATAATTAACTTAAGATTCATCAATATCCAGGAAGGGTGTTAATTTAAATTGTCGATTCTGCCATAGTTGTTTAATAGTCAATTTAAATCTTGTTGTTGATTATTAACAAGCTGCTTGATGACATTGATCATCAGCAATCCAATTATTTACCCTATTTGTGAATTCATTTGATTGTGATCCATTTGATTGATCAATTGTTCATCTGAAGGTTGATTAAATTCCAATGGTTTGATTCTAATTAAGTCAAAATGAAATGCAGCTAAATTGCCAATAGATTTTTAGATAATAATTTATCGCCTGGATATAAAAAATCCATGAAGGAACAATGGTAAATATTTTTGGTGAGTTGGTTTACTTTCAGTTCAGCAATTTACTGATTGATTGTAAGATTGCCCCTTGGTTTAATCGGCTCTAAATTTGCTTGATTGTTAATTTTAAAAATCTTCCATGATGGCATCGTAAGTCTTGTTGGACTAAATATGTTCAAGTCTTTGGAGATGTTGATTTGATGAAAGCTTATATTATATACATGATGTATATTGTCATCATTTGATTAATGGTTTGCTTTCAATTATTGTTTCCTTAATTTCCAATAAATCTGATTTATACATTATTATTAATTATTATTCCCATTCTAGTAAATATTCAAGTTTACCATCAGCAGTTAACCTTTGCGCTTTAATTATACACTTTCGAGGAATTGAATCATTCGGTGTTTCCACATGAACAGGAGATTTAGCCTCCACCTCAGGTGATTTAATTGGTGACTTGGGAGATTCTTTATCCATTGGGTGTCCGGTTATCCTTTTAAGAGTTAATTTGGAGCAAGTACCACTTCGTATAATTTGGTAGCCACTCTCGTGTTGATTAGAATTGTGATTTGTATCATTGGTAGTAATGATACGAGATGAAGATAACTGATTAACTTTATCAGCTGAGTTAACAATAGATGAAGTTGACGATTCACTTTGCTCATTTATATCGAAAAAAGGATTATTATGTCCTTCGAAATTTTCAGGTAATGGTATTACTTTCTCGAGACATGAGTCGATTGTCCCTAAATCATGATTATCATTATCATCATTTCCAGTGCTATCTTCTTGTGAAGATGAACCATCATTACCAAAATCTACGTCATCTGAGTGTTGATCTTTTAATTCTGATCGTGGCCTCTTACATTTCCAACGAGAATTTGTGGTAATTTTGATCCTTGTCCTAAGATGCTCTTTATTCCTATCATTCAAAGCATCTTTTCCTGGCAAACTGGTGGAAGATGATGTTGTCGCTATTTCTTTTAATGCACTTATATTACATGTAGATGAAGATGTTTTATCTGTAGAATCATGATTAATATTACCTACACCAGGCAGATTTATTTTTGATTTTCTTTTCTCCTGAGATTTACGACGAGATCTTTTTCTTTCCTTGTGTCTCACTAAGTGTCTCATACTTGCTGGTTTTGGATATATGGAAGCCCCTTTCCTGCAAGCTCCATAGATAAGAGGAAAAGCGGGTGGAGACCTTGATCGAATAGAATTGATTGACTGGAGATTATTATTATTATTATTATTATTATTGTTGTTGTTGTTGTTGCTGTTGATGGTCTGAGTTACACGTTTATCACAATTTGACCAAAATGTTTTAGGAGCATAAAATTGGGGCCATGGAAAAGGCCAAGGAACTCGTAAAGCCCAGTGAGTCAATTTCTCTCGATCTCGATCACAAATGAACTTTTTCTTGTACTTCATCAGAACGGAGAGAACCTTTTGAGATAGTTCATCTTCACCCATTTTCATCAGATTATATCCTTTGGTTTTAAATTTTGAATTATTTCGAATAATAAATGGAACAATTTCACTTGACAGGTCAAAAAATCGCTTCCTATGTTGTAGAGTTAAATTATTCAGTATAATGGCAACCAGATCACTCCAATGCATTGAAAGTCTCTCGACAATTTCATCTCCTTTATTGCAAACACCACAAGTAAATTGATAAAAATGGTCCCCATACAGGAAAGGTGATTCTATCTCTTGAATACAAGCCTCATGGAACCATTGTAAACATTTATGACATTGAAGCATTCGAGAGTGATACCGTCCAGGTCCACCGCAATAGCAATAAATATTTTCCCTATTAGCTTGATGATAATCGTTCCAGGTTAATTTTGTTAAATCATAATGGAAAACTGTTTTCGTTAATTTCATAGCTTCACCAACCGCTGTATCCCTTTCTGCTCCACCTTCTCGAGCACCAAGGGCATAAAGACAAGTACGGCAAGTCCATGGGGCATCAGGTTCCAATACGGAATCAGGTATTTGAGGTTTATGGCATAATTGATGATAACCTTGATTGCACACATCACAAATGACTATCTCATTGGGTGACTTAGAGGAGCCATCACGACATTCACTGCAGATTATATCTGAATCAGAGAAAATCGTATTGGCCGATAATTGTGTATGAATATCTTTAAAATGAGTCCAATATCTTGAATCATCTTCGTAACGAATTAAACAAAGTCCTTTATCATCTTCAATCTTCTCAATTACACCCAGATAATAAAGTCCATTTGTCCACCTTACGAAAACGGTTTTACCAATGTTCATCCAGTGTTTAACAGGATATGAATTTAAATTTTTGATATTATCCTTTAAATATGATTGCACTTGATTACTTCGCACATTTTTCATTCCAAAAGACTTATTAACTACTTTGCTAATCTCTTGGTTATTTGATTTAGATGTTGCATTTGATGAACTTATTGTTGATCGAGAAGTTGATGATGAAGATCCATTGGGAATCATTTCTGAATGACTAACATTTGCACTACGTAAATTAGTCTTTGATTGGCAACATAATTCACAATTAGATTCGTTGTCGGATTTAACTTCACCATCGTCATCGTCATCATCATCATCATCATCATCACAATTGTCAGAGTTATTTTCTTCTTCTTCCATTGAATCTCCTTCAGAATCAAAAGATTCAGACTCTGAATCTGATGTTGATTCTTCTGAATCAGATGATGAATCAGCTTGACTTTCATGGACACTGTCAGAATTATCACCTTTATCTGCACCATTCTGATTGTTATTATGTCGCAAGATAACCTGAGCATACTTTTTATTAGGTAAACGGCTTCTTATCTTTCTACTAGCGGAAGTTTGATCGCCATCATCATCAGAGTCTTCATCGGTCAGTTCGGTTTGACTTTGAACTGAAGTTGTATTGCGAGAATGTGACATTGGTAATAAATCGAAAACCAATGTTGATCAACAAATTATCAGAGTAAATGAAGGTGATAGAAAAACAAGGTATTTGGTAAACAGAGAGTTAGAAAAGAAGATGACGTGAGAGAGAAGATAAAAAATAGGTAAAAGTAACAGAAATCAGTCAATTGACGAAAAAAATGAATAGAATATAAGGAAAAACAGATGTTCAATATTGAACATTGAAGTTAAATGTTCAACTGAATTGGTAAACAGGCCTAGAGGTTGTCGTACAATTTTCATCACGAGTCATCCAAAAATAGCAGGAAAAAACGGTGAAGAAAATAAATCGTGTTGATGCGAGAAAAATGGAAGAGGGAGAGAGAAGAAGAGAAAGAAAAAGAGAGAGAGCTGGTTCAGTCGATTACATGAGAAATGAGAGATGGTGATAGAGAAAAAAAAAGAGAAACGAAATTCAATCAACACAAAAAATAGAAGAAGAAAAAAGAAAAAAAAAGAAAGAGTAAAAAAGGAAAAAGATTGAGATAGAAAGAGAAAGCGAAAGAGGATAAATACAGGAAAGAATTGTAAAGGTTTTCAGTTGAGCACTTTTTTCATGGAGAAAATGAAACAAAAAGTGAAAAAGATTCTCAGCTAAAAGGTAAACATGTTGATTCCATTGAACCAGAATCATAAATTACATTGGAAAAAGAAAAAATCACTAATCAAAACAAGAAGATAAATTAACTAACAAATTGAATTAAATGTTTGATGACATAAAAATACATAAGAATTAAAGAGCAAAGAGAGAGAAAAGAAAGAGAAACAGTTTCAATGATTCGACAACATTGTCGCCACTTTCATCTTTCCATTTGGAAGCAACTGATTAGTAATATTACCTGAAGATGGCGCAGAAACCCAATTAATTTTCTTTAATCAGTTGATCGTTAATTTGGTTTGATTAAATTCTCAAAACTTTCAGTGTTCTTATTCAGATGGTGACAAGGTGATGGAATAGATTTTGAATTCCTTTTCAAAATTGTCCACTCAATCAATTGATCTCTAAAGAGAGAAAAGTTGACAAAAGTAAAACTAATTTTTGTGTTATAAAAAATTCTGTAAAATCATTGATAATGTTATTTACAATCTAATCAATATATCAAAGTGAATTGATTGGTTACTAATTGAGAACCAGGAATGAGTGTCATTAGAGTTTCCATTTACTGGGATTGACAGTTAGTTTTCCAATCATTATTACAACTTTTTTCGTCTTGTCAATTATTAATTTATTTTTACCTCAACAGAGTAAAACTTTATTGCAAAGGAACAAGTAGTTTCAAGTTTACCCTGAAAAAGAAAACAAATCTGATTTAGTGAATGAGTTTTGTTTTTTTTTTGTAGTAACGAATTGATCGGTGAATGGATTTGTTTTAACGAGTTGATCGGTGGATGAAGCAAATTGATAACAAGTAAAACAAAATACAATAGATAAAAAAAGGACGAAGGAAACGATTAATTAAGTGAATCATGGGAGGAAGAAAAGGAAAATAATGGAAATTAAAAAATGGATAAGTGAGATTAGAGTTGATTTGTGGATGAAATAAGGATTAGGAAGATTGAGAGAGAAATAGAGAAAGGAACAAGTGAGCAGCAAATATTGCAAAATGTGCGAAACTTATCATTGACATGGTTCGATTATGGAGCATTCAGATCTTCAGGATTAATCTTCTATTATTCTGATTGAATTGCGTGAAATATGATAAATTATATAGTTGAGGTTTTCGAATGATTGAAAAAAACTTTTGATAGGGAGAAGATTAGATTGAGTATATGAGATGATAAGGAACTAACAGCTTAAGACTAATTGTCAAAGTGGTGGTTTGTTTTCAACTAATAGCAATTAATCACCACGATCGCTGCAAAAAGGAATATGATTAAATTATAAACAAAATAGCAAATAAATTAATAGAAATAAGAGAGGAAGGATTTTGTTAAGTAAAACAGGAAAAGGGATGAAAGAGAGAGAGAGAGAGAGAGAGAGAGAGAGAGAGAGAGAGCAACAAGATGAGGATGAAAAGAAATAATAGAGAAAATTGTTTTGTTACGAAAGATCAATCGGTAAAGCAAATTAAGGAAAAGGAACTTTGAGATGGGCAATTAATTATTCGATTAGTTGAACATAATTAGCTGGAAAAAGTCCATAGGTTCCATCGGGAGCCATTCCCTGCCACCAACCAACATCAACTTGTTCAATATGAGTAATTATATCATCAGGATCAAAAGTGATTTCGGTTTCATCAGCTGCTTGGTAATCGTATAAAGCACGTGCACGTAGCCCATACTCAGATTTAGGGAACTTTTTCTCGGCTTCTTCGAGGAATTTTCTTTCTGCTTCTGATTCATCTTCAGGTTCCTCCGTGTGTTCAGTTGGCTTTTCTTCTTCTTCTTCAGCATTTTCCTCACCTTCTTCTGCAATATCTTCTAAAGTGTCCAGATATGAAGATTTAACGGTGAAATAATGATTCTCATCAGATTCAAGATTAGTTGATGAGAAAACTAAATCACTTGGTTTCCACATTTTGTATACATCAAACTCCTCATCTTCCAATTCTTCAGCATTAAGTATATCTTCAGATTGCTTATCATTAAGCTCTTCTTCAGTCTCATGAATTTCAGCGTTCAGATTATCTTCACCATGATCAAGTCCAGGTTCAGGAGATGGAGTTGTGATAACAGTTGATTCAACGTTGAGCGTTTGTTCAGTTTTGGAAGGCAAATTTGATTTTGGTGTCGATTCTTTATCCACTTTAAGTGTCTCCAAAACTTGAGTCTCTTTTTCCAACGGTTGTTTTCCATTCATCAAATCTTTTATCTCTTTATTTTCACTCACTTCTTGGTCAATTTCGTCAATGATTTTAACTTTCGCTTTAAATGTATCTGTTGGTGACAAAGAAAAAAAACAAAATTGTTCAGTATTGGATTGGAATAGATTAGCCATTTACTTACCATTTAATTGATCGGCTGAATTTTGAGCAGGTTGTTGATCACTGGACTCGGTGGTTTTGTGCATGGATTGAGTTTTAATATCTTGTGGTTCATTGTTAGAATTTTGTTTAGATAATATTAGGGGATCTCGAATTTTTCTTAAAGGTTTTTCGGCCATGATCGGGGGTTTACCTTCTTCGAACGCTTTCTTGAAACTTTCAACTCGACTTTTAACATAACTGGAAGCTTTGGCTTCTTCAGAGTTTGATCCATTATTTTGACCGTTTGCGATTTCATCGTCTTTCACTTTAATCCATTGGTTATCGGCGACACTTCTTATTCCTATTTTAGATCGATCAAACTCCTTTCTGATGTCTTTTTCCGTTTTGATCTCAGTTTTCGTTGATCTGATTATAGTGATTTTCTCTTCAGATGCTTCATCTAATTGTCTTTCTACAAGTATTTTCTCTCGAGCTGATCTCTCTTCCTCAAGTCGCTTTTTCTCCTCGAATCGTCTTTTATTATCTTCTTCTTGTACTTTACTCCAAAAAGTTTCCCGTTTGACTACATCGATCTCTTTCTGTGGTTGAATCCTTTTATAATTGGTACCGACAGGACTAACATTCTCAACAATCGATCTCTCCTTAAGGTTAAATGAATGGATAGAAATTCTTTCCAATTTTTTGATTATACTAGTCGGTTCAACGTCATCTTCATTTCTTGCCTCTATTGTCATGTTTGCTCCACGGAAAAATTTGGCAACATCGTTGATATGATTGGCACAGGTCATTTTACGAGCTGGTTGAGCTCCTTCTCCTTGCTAAATGGAGATGAACAAAGAGAGAGAAAGAGAGAGAGAGAGAGGAAAAAGTAAACAAAAGATTAATCATCTTGACAAGAGATAAAACCGTCTATGTGGTCAGAGACAAAACAAATCTCATCTTCTATTAACTGGTAATCATCAACAGATTGATTAAATTGAATATACGTGGACAAACAAATGACTAAGCGAAATTTTGTTCAACCAGAGCCGACGCCCAAAGAGTATATAAAATCGTTGAATCATTTGAGAATCAGAAACACAATCATATCCTTCAACACTTTACAATATCATCAATAGATTAATCTACAAGTGATTCTAAACTCACTATTTAACTGAAGATAAAATAAACAACAATTAAAGTAATTGGTGTTATAGACCATGAAGGTTTCATGGTAGTAAGAAGGAGAGAGAGAGAGAGAGTAAGAAAAAAGCTTCAACAGATTAAATCAGAAACCCAATGAATTAAGAGAAAGTATTGAAAGAATATGAGTGTAAATTGATTGACAGAATAAGAAACCAACCCAATTGATTATGAAGTATTTTGGAAGATCTGAATTAGCTGATTGGTATCTACAGAAGGCATACATGATCCGAGAAATGGAAAATTGATCAGCCAAATCTTCAAGTCCATTTCCACTTGCAACCAATTCAAGACAATCCGATTGATTCTCGTAACCATACACAGCCCTAGATGCAGAAAAAAAAAATTAAAAAAAGATAATAAAGGTGAGTGATTAGCTTAATTGCTCATCAGGTAAATAACAATAATAATTTAGATTGATTAGAATAGAAACAAAACAAAACAGATGATGACTATAAAAGGTAATAATAAATAGAGAAACTATTACAAGAGAGATACAAACGGATAGGAAAGGGAAGAGAGAAATTGATTAAATTGAAAGAGAAATGATTAACTAATCACTTACCAACTAGTATCACTTTTTTCATTGACAACCTCCTTCCATGATGAAACGAGATCTCGTTGATATTTATCGAAATTAACTGGCATTGTGATTGTAAAAGTCTATCAACAGAATTAGAAAAAAAAAACAAAACAAATTGCCAATCAAGATGAACAAAGTGCTTCTGATGTAAGTGATGATGACCGGTAAAAGGAGATAATCAAGATGACATCTAAGTTCTGATTGAGGTTGAAGGTGAACAGGTGATAATTGGTTAAGTGTGATGGTCAATAACAATTGAATTAATTGTAAAGTAAATCAGATAATTAGAAAGAAGAAGAAGAAGATTAAAGGTAAATGGATGAACGTTGAACTTGCTTGCAAAAAGTGAACAAAATTTCAACACAGAGAATAACAAATAACAAACAGCATAACCTAAGAGAGGAAAAAGAAGATGATGAAAAGAAAGAGAATTAGAAAGAGATGAGGAAAAGAAAGAGAATTTATCATCCTGTTTGGCTCTTTCTTTTTCTAATGGTAACTTTTGGGTTACTCTTTTTTTTTTCATTCAATTTTCTTTTCGAAAGAAATGGCAAATAAATCGGTAGACAGACACGAGGTGGCGTTCGTTCAATTCTTGTTTTGAATCACCAACACGCTCTTGATGTTGGTTTGGTTTTTTTCATCCTCATCATCACTTTAAATTATTCTCATATGTGAGTACATTGGATTTTGTATTTGATTCATTTTGAAATGACAACAAACAGTGTTGATTTTTATTTATCACAAGAAAACAATCTTTTGTGTATCCCTGATCATGGCCAATCACAGCAACAGCAACAGCAACATCAGCATCAACAACATCAACATCAACAACCCCAACCCCAACAACAACAACAACAACAACAACAATCGTCAACTGAGTGGACCAATGGGTCAACAACACTATCGTTAGTTCATCATCAATTACACCATCATCAACAACAATCATCACAACAATCACAACAACAACAACAACAACAACAACATTCTGACACCTTATCCCCTGTTTCTAATCCCAGACAAAGTCCAACTATAACTAAACGTTACTTGACCGAATACATATCGGAAAATGGCTCCGTCAATGACACTTGTAGTTCTGAACCACTGCCCAAAAAGTTACATACCAATGGTAAAAAGACTAAAGGTCGAGTTAAGATCAAAATGGAGTTTATTGATAATAAATTGAGACGATACACTACGTTCAGTAAAAGAAAATCAGGAATCATGAAAAAGGTAAATGAAAATTTTCTAGATTCACTTTAACCACTTTTCTACTTTTGTTTTTGTCATTTTAAATTCATTTGTCCAATGATAGTTAATTTAACAGTCACACACACAGCCAGCCAGTTGATGAGAGGAAGAAAAAAAAACTCTAAGCTAAATAGCATTTTGTCAACAATTTTAATCCAATTGGGCAATTGGATTATAATTGTTGATAGACTAGAGACCCAGTGAAGCAAGAAAAAAAAAATAGACAGAGGAGGAAGAAGATGATGAGGTAAGGTAGGCAGAAATGCTAAAGATATTTATACAAATCGTTTCTGCAAAGAGGGTAAAAGTTAGAAGATGATGAGGATGAAGATATTTCTCTTAAAGCAGCAATTATAGCTCATTGTGAGAGAGAATGGAAGAAGAGGAGAACGAGCTAAGCTTAGATGTTTTCTTTTTTTTCCATGTATCTTCCATGTTCGAGAAAAAGAAGAAGAAAAAAAATTAAAACTGAAGCCTCTCACCAAAGTTCGTGGTGAAACTTGAATCAGTTCCAAGTTTGTTTCCTTAAGGAAAAAAAAAGAAAAACAAGAATTTCGAAAAGCTCGTTGAAGATGAAATGGATAAAAATACCATAGGCTGTGTTCTCAAGATAAACTGACAACAGAAACTCGATACAACAACTTACCACTACCAATACCTCATCAAATTCCCGGTGTGTCTAACGTTGCATGATAGAAGATGATGAAGATGAAGATGGTAAAAATAAGGATGCTGATGATTAGAAGAAACAAAAAAAAGTTGTTTATCCACCAAGACCCATGTTGATGTTGATGATGATCATCATTATCACTCAATATCATCAACAACCATATGAACATAATCAACTGGATCATCACCATTCTGATGATCAATTCAGCTTATCAATGAATGAAAAATAACAGGATTACAATAAATTAATATGATTACTTTTTTTTTGAGAAAAAAAAAAGTTGATCCAAGTTGTAAAAATGTCACAAATCTTAATCGGGATAATCCTTGACTGTTGAAACTTTTATTCATTTGGCTCTTTATTTTTTTTTTGTTCACATTTTTAGGAAAGCAAAATTTGTCAACTACTGTAGCGTATTTTGTTTTTTACCATCTCTTGCTAATCTTTTTCATCTTCTTCATCTTTGTCATTCATTTGTCTTCAGGCTTACGAACTATCAACCCTAACGGGAACCCAAGTCATGCTCTTGGTAGCAAGTGAAACTGGTCATGTTTATACCTTTGCAACCAAAAAATTGAAACCAATGATAACCAGTGACACAGGTAAAGCCTTAATTAAGACTTGCCTATTCTCACCTGAACCACAGACCAATGGTTACGATCCTAGAATGTCATCAACTGGTTACGAAGAGACGGAATTAAGTTATTCTGTTAACGATGATTCGTCTGAAAAGGTGAGCCTTAACCCATATTTCGCGATTTGAGTGGAACAATTAAAAACAAACAGACAATTAAAAAGACAAAACAAAAATCCTACCGGTTGATTTATTTATTCAACCTCTATTTTTCCATATAATTTAATGACACAACAATTAACACCTTAATCTTCATCTATTACTTTTAATCCCACGAGAACAGTATGTTAATGTAATAATTTGTTGACTCAAGTTGTTGAGAACTAAGAGTTTTAATAAATTGTTATAATCGGAAGTCATTGAGTATCACTGATTTACCTTTAACATATTGTTCTCGCCTTTATTATCAATATAACTTCACTAATCAACTAACTAACTAATTAATTAATATTTTCCTTTATTTAATTTCTCTCTCTCTCTCTCTTTCTCATTTTTCTATCTTTTCTTCATCTGGAAGTCTTCGGTTGGTTTTGAGAATTGAAACTTATCTCTGTTGAAAAGAAAACACTGAATATCTGAAACTGAACTTTATCTCTCTCTCTCTCTCTCTCTATTTCTCAATAAAACTGGAATTGGAATTTCAGAGGTCGAATATTTTTCTCCAAGACCTGAAACCTCTGGTCACAAGACTAGAAAAGCAAAAATTTAGAATCAAATCTCTAATCTCAATCAATTAACATCACAATCAACCTGATTCGGGTGTTCGATTAACGATAATCAAACAATAATAATAATAAAAAAAAACTGATTTCGAAAATCAAATCACTGCCAAAGCATTAAAACCCCACCGATGATTACAATTATCAACCTAATTACACTTGTTAATCCACCACCACCACCACCACCGAACCACCTAACCCACCATCTCTAAAATGCTATTGCATTAGAATTATTTTCTATTGTTAAATTAAAACCAAATCCATCCAAAATTATCAACCCAATTGATAATCCAATCAAATTTACATATAAATATAAATTAGTTAAACTAAATATTACAAGATAGAAAAGGTCTATTATTAATTTGTGTCCATATGAAAGTTTATTTTACTCGTATTTGAAATCCAGTTAATCAAATTACCTCAATTGTAAATCGATAATAAAAAGGCTCATCTAAACTTTCACTTGTCCACAATTTAATTGTAATCAACGTTTTTTTAAAGTTAAACAGATTCATCGGTAAGATGATTTCTCTCCAACCTTGACTAACTTGTTAGTTGAGTCTTGTTTTCTGTTTACTCACTTATAGTAAATCTATTGACTTGATAATAATAACAATTTTGACCATTCGAGGTTAATCCGATCAATTAACGAGCCCCAATGGTCAGTTAGATAATTTTAATTACGATAAGTTAATTTGTTTTATCAAAACTAATAGATTGATATGGAACAAAACTTTCAATGTTAATAACTACGACTAATTAAATACAATTTAGTTACCATGTGGTTAAAAACAAAAAGGTGAACATAGTAAACTGAATTAAGATTTACAATCAGGTTTTCTATCATTTATCTTATTAATCAACTACAATATGTTATATACTATAAATTTTGATTCGCTTTCCTTTCACCTTTTTACCTAAATTTTCATTGAGAAAAAAAAATTTACTCTCTTTATACTTATTGTAATTACTACGAACTTTTCTATCGTAAGCCTTACTACGTTAACATGATACGTACTCATGTAAGTTAATTGTTAATCAAATAATCGTAGGTTGTTAAATCATGAATGACGAAGTGAATAATTAGCGAGAAAAAAAAACGGAAACGAAAAATATAATCGTAGGTGTCGATATGTAGGCTATTTAAGATATAGTTTTTACTTTCATTCATTTAATTATTTATAATTCTTTCATTTTCGAAACTGATTTTCTTAAGTTTTTCGAGTATTTCTGTTATCATTTCTCTAATTAACTCAAATTGCTTCTCGATATTCTGATATCAATGAATAATAGTCAAGAACAGAGCGAGAAAAAATATTCATAACTCGCTAATAAATGATGAACAATCAGAGGATTTTTACAATGGTGATTGTAATATAAATTTCTGCATCCATGTTTCGTTTAAATGATAAGCAAAGTACAGTTACGATAGGCCGTTAATTCATATAATTGTGTTGATAAAATAATTCTGAACAACACCCATTCCTTAAACCGTAGGCTGCTACACGTTAATTAGTTTGAGGTTTTTTCTACTTGTAGGTGTTGAATTGTCAAATCATAAAATCAATCGCACAAGTTAATTACATTTTTGTTATATAATTAGGCTTTTTTTTATTGTCATCTAATTAGAATAGTTGAAATAATTATACAATTACGAGAGATATTCAGTTGGATAACAAATAATAAAAAAAGACGAGCATCATTACCAAAGTTTACTTGTGACTTTCATATTAACTAACACAATAATTACGAACTAATAAATTAACACAATTAATGTTTTTCTCGTTATAAAAACTGACCAATAAATATACTCATTCACATTATTTTCTTTTTTTTTCGATCAATGTTTAATATCTGTTCTCATCAACCGTCATATCCTATTCCTCATCCTGTCCCATGATTGTCGACGTTATCAACTATTGGCGACTTATCCATATCTCACCCTGTTTCTATCATATCTGTTGCACGATACCTGATCTGTGTAATGATTTTCCACCGCCGATAATAATAATAATTCCTATGCAACCTCTTTTCCTTGGTAACCCTTTTCCCTTCACCTCGACTTTTGTCCTGAGAACAGTTATCAACGACATCGAATTATAATTTATCTGCTTGCATTCAATTCCCGGATTCAACATCATCTGAACTGCATCATAATTCAAATCCCAATAATAATTATCTTTACATCTTGGACAATTTAAATTGTGACAATTCAACGATGAATGTCAATATAAATAGCTCAACAAACCTTCCTTTACCACCCTTCGGAACGATCCATTCCTAGGACCAGCAACCGATGATTATGAAAACTATCAATTAACAGCACATTTCAATAGTAATAACAATAATAATAACCGTCATCATCATCATCATCATCATCATCCTGACGACGATTGTCATCTTAATCATCTTAATCATCCGCATCATCTTTCACCAGTTAATAGCTCATCATCACATCTTGATTCATTTTCATCAACTCATTCCAATCAACATGACCAACTGCAACCAGCTAATCAACTTAATCATCACAATATTGTGAATAACAATTTACATCAACAGATAACAATTAATATTGATTTACCTGAAACACAATTAACCGATGCTCCAAATACAAATGATTTAACATGCTCGTATCCATTTTCATCTTTAATTTGTTAATCTCAATCAAGAAGCAATATAATATAATATATTAGACCAACTCGATAATCGATATTTAAATCTACAATAAACATATCTTGACCATGATAATAATTAATTTAATTCGTACAACAAATTGCAACAATTAAATCTACACCCTTGATAGAGCTTTAAAAGGAACCCAATTGCATGATTGCTTATCATCAACAAAACTTATTCATCATTCATAAATCAATTGTTAACTGTTAATTTCACTCTTTTAATCAAATGTTACTTAATTAAATTAATTTTTTTTCTCTCTCTCACACAATCATATTCAATTAGAATACATTATTTACCATCAATTTGTTTTACTATCGATGATCAAGTAAACCTAACGTAACATGTTCAATGGAGACAAAAGTTTCCCTCGATTTTTCAATTCAATCGAACTGAATTAAATCGTAAAATTTGATTGTATCATTAATTTGTTGTTTTTTTCTGTTTCCTGATGATTTCAATTTCTACCAACAACTTTCACTCACACCCACACTATCACAATTAACCAATCAAATTGTTAAGTAAACCAGTTCAAATCAAGACAAACCTGAATTCACCTACACAAATAACAACATGATTACAATTAAAATCCTATAGAATCAATTTGAAATGAAAATCCTAACTAATGATGATACTTAATACCTTACCTATAAGATTCTGGCCTAGTTAATTAAGAAAATGTGATTAATTGTAAATCCATTTGTTGATTGTTATTGTGAGTATGAAACTGCATTGACAATTTAGATTCAATTTAAATTCATTTTACAGACTAAATTTTGGTTAATTAATCTTCCTTTGATGAGAATTTTTTTTTGTTTTCAATTGTACTTTGATTGTTATGAAATTTTAATTGTTTATTTATCGTTAATCAGTTGATTGTTTTCTCCCCATAATAATCTGGTGTTTAATGTTTAATTGAATCAAGGTGATAATCCTTGGTAATAGTTATCATATCATTACCTAATTAAATTATTAATTGGTGTGTTTAACATTTGATTGAATTAATTAATTGCATTTTCAGGAGGAAATCAAAACATGATCACATAGATTTCCTGACTGATTCAATCAATTCCTGATCATAATCTTATACATACTTGACTTTAATTAGTTATTATCTTAATCTCGATACGTTTAATCAGAGATTCAAATATAAGTTAACTTTCAATGTAAAAAAAAGTGGCAAAAATCATGATAATTATTGATTGACATTAGAATAGTTTAATCAAGAGAAGAGCTTTAATTTACTTTATAACATCAATTGGATTAGGATTAGGATTAGATTTTCAATTTCTGTTGGGAAATTATCCCTTTTCATGCTAATCTTTTACCATGTAAACAAATTTTCAAATTGTTTATTTTTGTAACCTAATTATCATGGGCTTTGATTGAGTAAACATTTTAATCAGGGTTATCCAATTGTTGCACAATTATAATCATGTTTTAAATGATTGTGAAACAACAGACACAAAACATAATTAATTGTGATATTCATTTTCTTTTCTCATGATTTTGATTCATTTTGCTCATCAGGATGAAGAGGATTCGTCATCATCCCAAGGTATTTTCTCATCTTCAACAGGAGCCATTGGAACAACATCAAATTCATCCAACAGTAATCACAATAATCAGTCCTCGTCCTCATTATCTAATCTTTATCATCAACAACAGCAAGGAAAGCAACAATTAACTACTGCACTTGCATTAACAACAACCAAAGGCAATTGTATCAACTCATCTTCGTCTTCATCCTCATCCTCAAGTCCATCTCCATCAGGTTTATCTTCAATATCTATTATGCCAAACAATTGTTCAACCAAATCATCTAATCAAGCCAGTAATCACAATTTATCATCGACAGTTACATTGATTGATTCAAAACCAGCAACGACTTTACCTCTTAAATTAACTACTTCAACCAACACAATCAACCGTTCAATTGGATTGTCCAACAATCATAATGATAATAACACGGGAACAACTTTCACTGCCGCTATTTTAGGTAATTGATAAATTAGAATCGACTAATTATTATATTTTCTGTTGGTATCATTGAAACTTCTAATTGATCATCTTAATTCAATTGGAGATACATTCATCTTTGATTATTTAAAGAACCAGATTCTAAGACAATATGACTTGTTTACTTGAACCGAATCCAAGAAAATTTTCAATTGTGTCATCTTCTATTAGTAAATTGTCAGACAAAATTAAAATTCACTATTAACTTGGAAAGTTAATTCATCCACATCTTAGAACTGATTAAAATTGTATTCGTTGATTATCAAGCTGATTTTATTAAATTGAAAGCGAACAGTAAAGAATCTCCTTACTCTTGATTAAAACCTCAGTCACATATTGATAGTTAGTAGAATTTAATCACAAGATAATTATCATATAAGATTCGATCAATTAACCGTGCAACTGATTAGCTTAAGGATTATATTTAATCTATACTTCATCCTATCGAAGGGTAATCTCATCACTAATAATTGATCTGTCAAAACTTTTCCTGGTCAATAGATTTATTCATGATCTTAAACGTTTCGAGTCACTCGTAGTCTTTATGATAATAAGTAACCTTCATTAATGTATTTCTAACTAATTCGCCCTCGTACAGGATTTGCGATCATCTAGATCGATGTTTTTTTCCTGTTAAACATCCTCATTAGTTATCACACTTTCGCTATTCTGATTAACTACCCACAATAAAATTCACCCACGGTTTAAGTAAATTAGAACAATCTTATCTTTAACGTAACAATTGAAATGAATTGAGATTTCAACTTTTAATCAACTGTATTAACATTAAATAAATGTCATCTATTACTTTTATCTCATTATTAGGAGGGATTTTACCTCAATCAACTTTATCGAATAGGAATTCAAACTCGCAAGAGTCACATGAATCGAATGGATCAATGAATTCAACAACAGTTTATAAAATACCTGAGTTCGGGGCATCTTCATTGTCCGATCAAAGGTTATCATCTAAGTTAACATCGCCGCTGTTCAACACTGGTAAATGAATTGTAATCAAATTGTCGATTCTTACTAATCATATTTTAACTTGACAATTTTATTTATACAGGTAATGTTGTTTTATGTACCAACCAGACCGCCACTAGCAATGGTTATATGTACCACACGCCTCAAGGGGTTGTTTATGCAACTAATCCTAATTCGTTGTTTGCAGAAAGCCTAATTTTGAAATTTGGACAGAATTTGAGCCAAAAAAACCATTGTAGAGATGACTTCGAATAGCAAAAAATCTATTGATAGTTTTGATCAAAGCACTAGCTATGTTAATCGTACCAAACGTGAGTCAATCTCTCCAACTGGAAATAACGATTCGGATCATGTAAGAATGAAGTTCAATAAATCGTAAAAATTTTGTTTATAAATTCAATAAGAAATGGCTATGAAAATAAATGTTTCAATAAATTCATAAGTTTACCTGACTGATCGAACCAAATAAATTAAAGGGTGTGTAGTTTAAAAACTGAAATTTAGAGATAAGAAAATAACTGGTAAAAGGTTAGCTTATCTTTTTTTCTTACCTTTGTCTTTGTGATTTTCTTATCTCTTAATTTCAGTTTTTAAACTACTGTACACACCCTTTAAAAGATTATAGTTGTAGAAATCTTGTAAATCTTCTCATTAACAAGCTTAAAGTAACTTTCTTAATAAGAAATGGCAGCTCGTGGCTTTTGATAGATGAAAAATGCAAAGAACTTGATAATGTAGAAGTAATAAGTCAATTAAACAAAAAAACTTGAATTTTAATTAAAGGAAATATCAATACTCAAAGAACCATTCATTTGATCAGAAAAATCTTGGATTAAATCAGTTAATTGTTGAGAAAAATAATTAAAGAAATCTTTTCACTGAATGGTTGACATATTTTAATGTTCTCTTCGAAAAGAGCGAAAGCTTTGCGATCGAAATTCACTTCTCTCCAAACCACATCGACTTTCGAACCTGTTTCTTTATCGATAGTAAATTGCGATTCAATTGAATTTTCTAGTAATGAATAAGCCTCGTTCAGACCGAAGTCGATCAAATTTTCAAACGTTCATTTACTTGCTCCCAGCTTTAATATTTAAGACGAGAGTTTACACTGTCCTCGGATCTCAATAGAACAATTATTGAATCAACTTTATCCACAGTTTCATAGAATAGAGGCATAATATTTTTCGCGATTCTTTCAATCCAATTGTTGACCATTTTCCTTAATTTAGTTAGAAAATCGGCCAGTTCCATGTCTTCAATGAACACCAAATACGATAATCGGCAAATATTTCCAAACAGATTGATAGCGATCGATTCGAATTGGTCATCGAACAATTTAACTAATTGTTTGAATCGTGTCTCCAAAAAAATTTCCAATAATTGTTCAGGTTTGAGAGAAAGTAAATTTGAACAACAGGTTAAATTTGATCTTATTTCGTGTGGATCACAAGGTGGGTCAACATATTCAATATTTCTGGTGATTCGTTCAACCAAAATGAAAGAGAAATTCTTGATAATTGTTCCATATTGAGCTATCTTGTTTGGTCCGTTCATTTGATTTTTGGAAATTTTCTCCAAATCTTGAAGAACCATACACACTTGTAAACTTCTTCAAATCTTGATAATAAATCTTTATACTTTTCCCTGTGAGAAACCAAAGAGAAAATATTGATCATAATGATGATGATTAATTAGAAAGAAAGAGAATAGAAAATCAAATTCCTTACCCAATAACTGCTTTAAGATCATCTTTCTTTTTCTCTACTTCTTTTGAAAGAGTATTTTTGGTCGAAACAATTTGATGGATTGACGATCTTTCAAATAATATCTCAATGTTTTCCATTTGAATAGTTACTAACTGATAATCAAAGAAAACAGATTAGAAAACGTAACTTTTACTATTAAGACAAATGCCAGCAAGATAAATTAAACTCTATCTAAATCACCAGCTGATTGTAAGCTAATAAGTCAATACATTTAGATGATTTTGTAAGCTCAAGAGGAGCGGCTTTTTTGAAAAAGAATAAATGGTTCTGAGAGAGATGAGAGCGATTTTGAACAAGTTCAGCCATCAATTTAAGAACTGGTGTAGTGACCTGATGTAGATGATATGCTTTCAAAGCAATTAAGTTATCAGACTAACCATATAAAATAAAAAAAAAATACCAGAAAAGCAGATGCATTTTTGACATTAAAATTTTTGTATGAATATTTATGTTGAAATTCAATATTTTTATGATAATTCAACCTTTTTTGTGTGAAGATTGAGTTCAACTCATTAAGTAATTAAAAATTTTAAAAAATGGTAAAATTTTCTAATTAAATGTATTTCATTCAGTTTGCTAAAATTTTGCTTTTTAAGATATTCTAGCAATTATTATTACAATTATTATTATTGGCTATTACTAATATTAGTATTAGTAATACCATCGATATTAAAGCTTAAGAGAACAGTTTGAAATTTCAAAGTTTTCATATAGGGAAGGGTTAGAGTAACAATTAGAGTAGGACTGTGGATGAAGAGAATTCAATAATTGTCTAAAATCTATATGGAAAACATTGGAATCTTATTTGAAAGATCTTCAATCGATCAAATTATTTTGGCCAAAAATGCTCTCGTAAAAGAAGTAGAAAAAAAGAAAGATGATATTAAAGCAGTTATTGGGTAAGGAATTTGATTTTCTATTCTCTTTCTTTCTAATTAATCATCATCATTATGATCAATATTTTCTCTTTGGTTTCTCACAGGGAAAAGTATAAGGATTTGATTGGTATATCAGATAATTTAAAAGTGATGGCTCTTACCTGTGATATTGTTGTAAAATCACAACATCTGAATAAGGCTGTCAATCATTTTAAATCGAGAGAAAACCAAGTCAATGTCATAGATGAACGAAAAGATCATACACTGGAATATGATTTAATGGTCAAATCTAAAATAATTTTGAGAGCTCCATCCAAGGTGAGATCTTTTAATTTCTTAAATTATCGTTATTGTTTTCTTATTGTTTTCTTTTCTGTTCACGATTCCAACAATTGGTTAAATTGTTCGATAATCAATTCGAATCGACTTGTGCCAATCTGTTTGGAAATATTTTGGATACTTGCCGATTATCCTATTTAGTGTTCATTGAAGACATGGAACTGGCCGATTTTTCAACTGTATTAAGGGAAATGGTCAACAATTGGATTGAAAGAATTGTGAAAAATATTATGCCTCGATTCTATGAAACTGTGAATAAAGTGAAGTCAATAGTTGTCTTGACGAGATCCTTGGATAGTGTCAACTCTCGACTGGAATATGAAAACTGGGAGCAAACAAATGAAATTTTATTCGATAATAAAATTAACATTTGGAACTTTTTCCTGAAAGATATTACCATGGAAGTAATAGAAAATTTGATCGACTTCGGTCTGAACGAGGCTTATTCATTACTAGAAAATTCAATTGAATCGCAATTTGCTGTTGATAAACAGAGTGGTTCGAAAGTCGATGTGGTTTGGAGAGAAGAAAATTTCGATTCGAAAGCTTTCGCTCTTTTCGAAGAGAACATTAAAATATGTCAACCGTTCGGTGAAAAGATTAAAACGATTTCTGATCAATTATCGTTAATCCATTCAAAATTTTCAGGGCCAAACAAGATAGCTCAATATCGAGTAATTATCGAGAATTTCTCATTCATTTTTGTAGCAAGAATCACAAAAATATTCCCACAAAAAATATTTTGGAAAACCCCAAAATCTGAATGTATCTTTCAATCATTTTAAATCAAGTAAAAACAAGTCACCATCGTTAAATTAGATGAACGCAAAGATCATTTTGTTAATTATTATAATTTTATTATTTAATTTAATTTTGATTGCAAAAATGAGTGTTCCTGATTTCTTATTGTTTTCTTTTCTGTTCACAGATTTAGGATTATTTAAATAATAATGAAATGGAACCTGCAATTGGACATTATTTGGAGATTTTTTGGAGACACGATTCCAACAGTTAGTTAAATAATTTGATGATCAATTCGAATCGATCTGTGTAAATCTTTTTGGAAATATTTTCGATACTTGCCGATTATCATATTTAGTGTTTATAGAAGACATGGGACTGGCCGATTTTCTAACTAAATTAAAAAAATGTCAACAATTGAATTGAAAGAATCGCAAAAAATGCATCATCGAAATTTCATTAAGGTAAAATATAAAGATTTGATTGTTATTTCAGACAATTCAAAAGTTTTGGCTCAAACCTGTGATATTGTTGGAAAATCAGAAAATCTGACTGAATCTTTCAATCATTTCAAATTTAAAGAAAATCAAGTGACAGTCATTAAATTAGATGGACCCAAAGATCATACACTCGAATACGATTTAATGGTCAAATTTAGAATGATTTTGAAAGCTACGTCCAAGGTGAGAATGATCTTTCACTTTCTCAAATCATCATTCTTGTTTTCTTATTGTTTTCTTTTCTGTTCACAGATTTGAAATTATTATGATAATAATAAAATAGAACCAGCAATTGGACACTATTCACAAGTATGTTAGGTTCTCAAGATTTAGAGAAATCGAAAATCAATTAAAACGGCCAAACAAGATAGCTCAATATGGAAAAATTATCAAGAATTTCTCTTTCATTTTGGTAGAAAGAATCACCAGGAATGAAGAATTTTCGAATGAAGACAGCAACTTTGTACGAGCTAAAGTTATATCTTTTCTCCATTGCATCAAGATAATATTTCACAAAGAACCAAACTACAAACGTGATAAGGATTTTTTGAGCAATCAAGAATAATCAATTGACCACCACAATAATCATTGTCATTATCTCTCTCTTCATATTAATTAATTATTGTTTTACCCATTTTTGAAATTTGGAAAAATTCAATCAAATGGAATCAAATTCAGTTGAATATTGTATCATTGGTGTCCAAATATTATCTCAATTAACATGTGAAGTTAATCAAATTAGTGGAGATGAGGCAAGTCGGTCAATAGCAAAACAAAGGAAAATAGCCTCTTCTTTTCGAGATACACTTCTTTATGAAATATTTCAAATATCTCATGACTTTTTGAGAAGAGCCTTGGAAATTTGGAAAAATACCAATTTTGAAGATACAAATCAAAAAACATTGATCCATCAACTTCTCCGATTATCGCTTTCGTGTCTAATATTTGATTTCATTGGCACCTCACCTGATGAGTCTTCTGATGACCTTACGACGGTCCAGATACCAACAAACTGGAAACCAGCTTTCCTGGATTTTAATACTCTTCAACTCTTTTTTGATCTCTACCGGTGCTTACCGTCAGCTTTATCACCTTTAGTAAGTTAATTGTGCTATAATATCTTCTTAGATGTTTAATTAGTTGTTTGATTAATTATCAAAAAAAAGAATGAAGTCATTTAAATCCATTTAATTGTTATCTCATTATCTCATAGGCTCTCTCCTGCTTGGTTCAAATTGCTTCAGTCCGCCGATCACTGTTCAGCAATCAAGAACGTGCCAAATTTCTGATGCAGTTAGTCAATGGTGTTCGATACATATTGGAAAATCCTAATGGACTATCAGATCAAAGTTGTTATCATGAGTTTTGTCGCTTATTAGCTCGTCTAAAATCCAATTTCCAGCTTAGTGAGCTTGTCAAGGTCGACGGTTATGCTGAAACAATCGCACTTATCACCAAATTCACCGTAACAAGTTTACAGATGTGCCAATGTCCACCCAATTCGATTCATTATTTGTTGAATCTTTGGCAAAGAATGGTGGCATCTGTACCTTACGTTAAGGCCCAAGAACCGCATCTTCTTGAAACTTACACACCGGAAGTGACCCGAGCCTACATTACGTCAAGATTAGATGCAGTAGCTCGGATTGTTAATGAAGGTTTAGAAAGTCCTTTTGAAGATATTGGAATGATTCAACAGCAATTAGAGCAATTATCGACCATAGCTCGTTGTGAATATGAAAAAACTTGTGCACTCATCGTTCAATTGTTTGATCAAACCGCACAAACATACCAAGAGTTGTTACGTGCTAATCCATCACCAAGAGTTGAAGTGACAATTGCTGAAGGACAACTCACATGGCTTGTTTATATCATTGGTGCTGCTATTGGGGGTAGAGTCTTTTTGAATAGCACCGAAGAACATGATCAAATGGATGGCGAATTGGCTTGCAGAGTATTACAGTTGATGCAGTTAACTGATGCTCGGCTAGCTCAAGGTGGCTTTTGTGAGGAGTTAGAGTTGGCAATTCTCAGCTTTTTTGAACAATTTCGTAAAATTTACATTGGAGATCAAGTTCAGAAAACATCAAAAGTATATCGTCGCCTATCAGAGTATTAGGACTAAGCGAGGAAACTCAAGTTCTCAGCATATTTGTTAGAAAGATAATCACAAATCTAAAATATTGGGGTGTCAGTGAAATGATCATCTCGAAAACTTTACAAATTCTCAATGATTTATCCGTCGGCTACAGTAGTGTACGAAAACTGGTCAAACTAGAGGAAGTTCAGTTCATCCTAAGCAACCATGCAAGTGATCATTTCCCATTCCTGAGCAACGCTGCTCCAATCAATCAGATGCGATGTCGATCAACATTTTACACATCATTGGGTAGATTGTTGATGATCGATCTCGGTGAAGATGAGGAGAAATTTGAAGTTTTCATGAGGCCTCTAACCGCAGCCTTCGATGCTCTTGGATCAATGCTTCTTTCACCTGATCCCTCAATCTATGATACAGAGGAAGCAAAGGTAAATTCACCATTACAATTGATCTTCCAGTAAATATTAATCAATATCAATCTAATTTACAGAAAGCTTTAATTGGAATAGCCAGAGACCTTCGTGGCCTTGTCTATGCATTCAATACCAAAACCAATTATATGATGTTCTTTAATTGGATGTAAGTAAAATTGTTCAAAAATCTTTTTTTTATTCCAATTCGTAAATTGTCCTAATTATGATTATTATTATTTTTCTTATTCTATTCTAGTTATCCTGCTTACACTCCCATTTTCCACCGAGCCATCGATCTATGGTATCATCTACATCAGGTCACTACACCAGTTCTTAAATTGATGGCTGAACTTGTTCAAAATCGCTCTCAAAGGCTCCAATTTGATGTATCATCTCCAAATGGTGTTCTTTTATTCAGAGAAACAAGTAAAATGATAGTCAACTTTGGAATTATTTATTCTTTTTCAAAAAAGCCGCTTCTCTTGAACTGACAAAAGCAGCTCAATGTATTGACTTACAATCAGCTGGTGATTTAGATAGAGTTTAATTTATCTTGTAGGCATTTGTCTGATTAGCAAAATCTACGTTTTCTAATCTGTTTGTCTTTGAATATCATTTAGTAATTACTTAAATGGAAAACATTGAGATCTTATTTGAAAGATCTCCAATCGATCAAATTGTTTTGGCCAAAAATACTCTTTTGAAAGAAAAAGAGAAAAAGAAAGATGATCTTAAGTCGATTCTTGGGTAAGTAATTAGTTTTAAATCTTTTTTATATTTAATCATTAATATGATCAATATTTTCTCTTGGTTTCTCACAGGGAAAAGTATAAAGATTTGATTGTAATCTCAGATAATTTAAAAGTGATGGCTCTTACCTGTGATATTGTTGAAAAATCACAAAATCTGAATAAGGCGATCAATCATTTCAAATCAAGAGAAAACCACAAACGCAAAAATCATACACTGGAATATGATTTAATGGTCAAATCTAAAATGATTTTGAGAGCTCCATCCAAGGTTAGAATGATCTTTCACTTTCTCAAATCATCATTCTTTTTTTCTTATTGTTTTCTTTTCTGTTCACAGATTTGGGATTATTTAGATAATAATAAAATAGAATCAGCAATTGGACACTATTCACAAGTATGTTGGGTTCTCGAAGATTTGGAGAAAATTTCCGAAAATCAATTAAAAGGGCCAAACAAGATAGCTCAATATGGAACAATTATCAAGAATTTCTCTTTCATTTTGGTTGAACGAATCACCAGAAATATTGAATATGTCGACCCACCTTGTGATCAACACGAAATCCGATCAAATTTAACTTGTTGTTCAAATTTACTTTCTCTCAAACCTGAACAATTATTGGAAATTTTTTTGGAAACACGATTCCAACAATTGGTTAAATTGTTCGATAATCAATTCGAATCGACTTGTGCCAATCTTTTTGGAAATATTTTCGATACTTGCCGATTGTCCTATTTAGTGTTCATTGAAGACATGGAACTGGCCGATTTTCTATGTAAATTAAGGGAAATGGTCAACAATTGGATTGAAAGAATTGTGAAAAATATTATGCCTCGATTCTATGAAACTGTGAATAAAGTTAATTCAATAGTCGTCTTGACGAGATCCTTGGATAGTGTCAACTCTCGACTGGAATATGGAAACTGGGAGCAAATAAACGAAATTTTATTTGATAATAAAATTAACATTTGGAACTTTTTCCTGAAAAAGGTAACCATGGAAGCGATGAAAAATTTAATCACCTCTGGTCTGAACGAGGCTTATTCATCACTGGAAAAATCGATTGAATCGCAATTTACTATCGATAAAGAAACAGGTTTGAAAGTCGATGTGGTTTGGAAAGAAGGAAATTTCGATCGGAAAGCTTTCGCTCTTTTCGAAGAGAACATTAAAATATGTCAACCGTTTGGTGAAAAGATTAATATGATTTCGGATCAATTATCGTTAATCCATCCAAAAGGACTGATCCCTTGTAACGACAAACAGAGATTACAATCTTTTTTCACTTCAATTTTAACATCAAAGCTGGAAGAATTCATACGAAAGAATATTTGTCAAGAAAATTCGAAGTTACTTGTGATGGCCAATATTTATCGAACTCTCGTATTTGGATGTGCTCAATTTAAAAATGTCCACAATTTATGGTCTCATCATGAAATTGGTTGGAGTCGGTCTCGCCTTCTATTACAAAAGACCTACAATGAACTTTTCTTTGATTATTTTTCTCAACAATCAACTGATTTAATCCAAGATTTTTCTGATCAAATGAATTTTATAAGCTTGGAAAAATTTTTGGAAATGTACTCCAATTGGGAAGAGCTTCCAATTGACCAAATGGTCTCAACAACAATTCCGGTTCGAGCTTCCAATCCGCTATATCAATTATTAAGGAAGCTGAACAGCGAAATCAATGCGGTTGGTGCTCATACTATGAACAAAACAATCATCAAAAATGTATTAATGGAGATCATGTTGAAGCTCATCAATCTCTATGACAAAACGCTGGCGAGAATAGTTGTGGATGTGCCAAAGAATATTCAAAAAAAACAAATAATTCAATTGAATTTCGATATTCTCTTTATAAATGAATTGGCTTCTCTGGATCAATCAACTATTGAAATTAAGGAGAAATTGCAAAATATGATTGACCCTTTTGATTATCATATTATGGAACCTCATATTTCATCGTCAATTCTGAAATATAAGAAGAATAATCAACTTATATTTAGTAATTTGATTGATCAATCAAAAATTGTTTCCTCGTCCCTTTCCAAACAATCAACTGTTAAAACTGATTCTTCGAATCCTATGATAATCCATTCTTTAAACTTCGAGTTACCAACTCTACAAATTTTGAAAAGTAAAATTAATTTGTAAAAATTAATGGATTCGAAAGAGAAAAACTTACCACCAACAATGATAAATTGGACATTGATGATTTCGCGACTGTTAGTCTTTTTCTTCTCAATATAAATTATTTTGTTTAACGAAACTGTTCATTCCAGTGATCAATTTATTTAGTTGTTTTGATTATGAAGAATAAATCAAAGAAACGAGTTGATTTGGAACGGAAAAGTGATACTCCAACAGTGGCCATCGCTCCATCTGATTATCAACATCTTTACGCCGGTGGTAGCACTACAAAGGATCGTAAACAATTGGTTGTCGAAGAGCCGAAACAGAGTGGAAGACAAGCCAATCTTTTTCGAAAGAGTGACACTCCAACAGTGGCTATTGCTCCTTCTGATTATCAACACCTTTACGCCGCCGATGATATTTCTAAGAATGGTAAACAAATGGTCGGAGGGAAGTCGAGACAAGTTGGTAAACAAGCAAATCTCATGCATAAGAGTGACACTCCAACAGTGGCTATCGCTCCTTCTGATTATCAACATCTTTACGCCGCCGGTAGCACTACAAAGGATCGTAAACAAGTTGCTGTTGAGGAGCCGAAAAAAGTGGTTGGAGGGAAGTCGAGACAAGTTGGTAGACAAGCAAATCTTATTCGTAAGAGTGAAACTCCAACAGTGGCTATCGCTCCCTCTGATTATCAGCACCTTTACGCCGCCGATACTATTTCTAAAGATCGGAAACAAGTGGTTGTCGAGGAGCCGAAAAAAGTGGTTGGAGGGAAGTCGAGACAAGTTGGTAGACAAGCAAATCTTATTCATAAGAGTGACACTCCAACAGTGGCCATCGCTCCTTCTGACTATCAGCACCTTTACGCCGCTGATACTATTTCTAAAGATCGGAAACAAGTGGCTATTGAGGAGCCGAAAAGAGCGAGCAGAAGTCAACAAGCTGATTTAAGAAAGAAAAGTGATACACCGACTGTCGCTATCGCCCCGTCTGATTATCAACACCTTTATGCCGCCGATGATATTTCTAAGAATGGTAAACAAGTGGTTGTCGAGGAGCCAAATCAAAGTGGAAAACAAGCCAATCTTATTCGTAAGAGTGAAACTCCAACAGTGGCTATCGCTCCCTCTGATTATCAGCACCTTTACGCCGCCGATACTATTTCTAAAGATCGGAAACAAGTGGTTGTCGAGGAGCCGAAAAAAGTGGTTGGAGGGAAGTCGAGACAAGTTGGTAGACAAGCAAATCTTATTTATAAGAGTGACACTCCAACAGTGGCTATCGCTCCCTCTGACTATCAGCACCTTTACGCCGCTGATACTGTTTCTAAAGATCGGAAACAAGTGGTTGTTGAGGAGCCGAAAAGAGCGAGCAGAAGTCAACAAGCTGATTTAAGAAAGAAAAGTGATACGCCAACTGTCGCTATCGCTCCCTCAGATTATCAACACCTTTACACCGCCGATGCGATTTTTAAAGATCGGAAACAAGTAGCTGTCGAGGAGCCAAATCAAAGGGGAAGACGAGCCAATCTCATGCATAAGAGTGAAACTCCAACAGTGGCTATCGCTCCCTCTGATTATCAGCACCTTTACGCCGCCGATATTATTTCTAAAGATCGGAAACAAGTGGTTGTCGAGGCCGAAAAAGTGGTTGGAGGAAGTCGAGACAAGTTGGTAAACAAGCAAATCTCATGCATAAGAGTGACACTCCAACAGTGGCTATCGCTCCTTCTGACTATCAGCACCTTTACGCCGCTGATACTATTTCTAAAGATCGGAAACAAGTGGCTGTTGAGGAGCCGAAAAGAGCGAGCAGAAGTCAACAAGCTGATTTAAGAAAGAAAAGTGATACGCCAACTGTCGCTATCGCTCCCTCAGACTATCAACACCTTTACACCGCCGATGCGATTTTTAAAGATCGGAAACAAGTAGCTGTCGAGGAGCCAAATCAAAGGGGAAGACGAGCCAATCTCATGCATAAGAGTGAAACTCCAACAGTGGCTATCGCTCCTCTGATTATCAGCACCTTTACGCCGATACTATTTCTAAAGATCGGAAACAAGTGGTTGTCGAGGAGCCGAAAAAAGTGGTTGGAGGGAAGTCGAGACAAGTTGGTAGACAAGCAAATCTTATTTATAAGAGTGACACTCCAACAGTGGCTATCGCTCCCTCTGACTATCAGCACCTTTACGCCGCTGATACTGTTTCTAAAGATCGGAAACAAGTGGTTGTTGAGGAGCCGAAAAGAGCGAGCAGAAGTCAACAAGCTGATTTAAGAAAGAAAAGTGATACGCCAACTGTCGCTATCGCTCCCTCAGATTATCAACACCTTTACACCGCCGATGCGATTTTTAAAGATCGGAAACAAGTAGCTGTCGAGGAGCCAAATCAAAGGGGAAGACGAGCCAATCTCATGCATAAGAGTGAAACTCCAACAGTGGCTATCGCTCCCTCTGATTATCAGCACCTTTACGCCGCCGATATTATTTCTAAAGATCGGAAACAAGTGGTTGTTAACCAACGTTCTAATCGTCTTCAATCCGATGGTATTTCTAATGATATAATCGAATTTGTTTTCAGTTTTATTCAACGGCAGCCCAAAAAATATTACATCAAGCGAAAAACTAAAAATTGATTTTATTGCTCGAATCTAAAATCAATTCCATTAAATTGTTAATCATTTCGATTCAATATTTTCGTAACTCCATCTCTGTGAAGTAAATGTAACTTTCCACAACCATACGGTTAAAACTCATGTGACTTTTCATTAAACAAGAAAAAAGTTTTAATTAAATTTTGTGTCAACTTAATTGTTTAATTATTTTCTTCCAGATTAATATTTCATTTGAACAGTTTTCTATTTGGTCTAATCGAAAATCATCAACAATCAATTTCTTTCTTAAACTGGTTAATTCTCTTTCTACTTTTTCATTTCTTTCTTTCCTTTTTTTTCCTCTTTCTTCAGTCACTTTTTTTTTCTCTGTCTCTCTTTTCTCTCTTTCTTCTACTTGCTTTCTCTTTCTTCCTTCATCTTCTGTCTCATTTCTCACTTTCTCTCTCACTCTTGCATCCAAATTTTCTTTTTTTTTCTAATATACTGTCTTTATTTCTCAATTGATTTAATTCTAATTCAGGTCTATCTTCTTGGTCAATCGTCTAATGTTTTATATCTAATTGGTTAAACAATTGATTACAAAATGGCTGATGAACAGGTGAGTTATAGAGGTCATTCTGTCTCAAAGTCTGAGCTCATTTCAGGGTTTACCCTCTTTTGTTTACTCTAAACCTTTAATGAGCCTTTTCCTTTTGTGATCTATTCATTGTCTTCCGTTTCTCTCCTTCAACATGACAATCAATGTGAATATTGTTAATGGTTCAATTTATCCGTTCTTCCAATTTAATCTTGGAACCTTTTCTTTGGTATCCACCCTAATATCTGAGTTTGTAACCTTTTCTTTTTTGATTGCTCTCTCTCTCTCCCCAACAGGAACTAACACAATTAGAGATAATGTGTAAGCAATTATACGAAGCGACAAACACCGAGGAACGAACTAAAGCAGAAGCATCTCTGGTCGCATTTAGCAATTCACCTGATTGTCTTAACAAGTGTCAATTACTTTTGGAAAGAGGAGTGGTAATTAACTAATTTCTTTACATTTTCTTTTAAGCCTATCTCACATTTACCGGTACTTGACTCATTTTCTTTCTTTCTCTTTCTCTCTCTCTCTCTCATTCTTTTATATATATACACCTATAAAAATGATCCAATGTGTGGAAAAATATTATCATTATTACCTGTGTAACACCCAATTTGACACCATGATCCTTTGTTCACAATTTACTGGTCACAATTTATCGGCATGGTTCATGTTTGATTTTTATAATTAGTCTTCTTATGCTCAACTATTGGCTGCTACGACATTGACAAAACTTGTCAGCCGAACACCCAGTGCTCTGTCCCCTCAACAGCGATTAGATATCCGAAACTATGTCCTTAATTATCTAGCCACTCGGGGTAAACTTGCTCATTTTGTTACCCAAGCTTTGGTTCAGTTATATGCGCGAATCACCAAAACAGGCTGGTTTGAATGTGTCAAGGATGAATGTGTCTTTAAAAATGTCTTACCTCAGATAAGACCCTTTCTACAGGTAAGATTCTTATGTCATTTAAATCATCACATTTACATTTTTACTTTAGCGAAACAATCATTCGGTTCTCTTTTTTTCTCTTCTTCTTAACCAGGAATCAAATTCAGTTGAATATTGTATCATTGGTGTCCAAATATTATCTCAATTAACATGTGAAGTTAATCAAATTAGTGGAGATGAGGCAAGTCGGTCAATAGCAAAACAAAGGAAAATAGCCTCTTCTTTTCGAGATACACTTCTTTATGAAATATTTCAAATATCTCATGACTTTTTGAGAAGAGCCTTGGAAATTTGGAAAAATACCAATTTTGAAGATACAAATCAAAAAACATTGATCCATCAACTTCTCCGATTATCGCTTTCGTGTCTAATATTTGATTTCATTGGCACCTCACCTGATGAGTCTTCTGATGACCTTACGACGGTCCAGATACCAACAAACTGGAAACCAGCTTTCCTGGATTTTAATACTCTTCAACTCTTTTTTGATCTCTACCGGTGCTTACCGTCAGCTTTATCACCTTTAGTAAGTTAATTGTGCTATAATATCTTCTTAGATGTTTAATTAGTTGTTTGATTAATTATCAAAAAAAAGAATGAAGTCATTTAAATCCATTTAATTGTTATCTCATTATCTCATAGGCTCTCTCCTGCTTGGTTCAAATTGCTTCAGTCCGCCGATCACTGTTCAGCAATCAAGAACGTGCCAAATTTCTGATGCAGTTAGTCAATGGTGTTCGATACATATTGGAAAATCCTAATGGACTATCAGATCAAAGTTGTTATCATGAGTTTTGTCGCTTATTAGCTCGTCTAAAATCCAATTTCCAGCTTAGTGAGCTTGTCAAGGTCGACGGTTATGCTGAAACAATCGCACTTATCACCAAATTCACCGTAACAAGTTTACAGATGTGCCAATGTCCACCCAATTCGATTCATTATTTGTTGAATCTTTGGCAAAGAATGGTGGCATCTGTACCTTACGTTAAGGCCCAAGAACCGCATCTTCTTGAAACTTACACACCGGAAGTGACCCGAGCCTACATTACGTCAAGATTAGATGCAGTAGCTCGGATTGTTAATGAAGGTTTAGAAAGTCCTTTTGAAGATATTGGAATGATTCAACAGCAATTAGAGCAATTATCGACCATAGCTCGTTGTGAATATGAAAAAACTTGTGCACTCATCGTTCAATTGTTTGATCAAACCGCACAAACATACCAAGAGTTGTTACGTGCTAATCCATCACCAAGAGTTGAAGTGACAATTGCTGAAGGACAACTCACATGGCTTGTTTATATCATTGGTGCTGCTATTGGGGGTAGAGTCTTTTTGAATAGCACCGAAGAACATGATCAAATGGATGGCGAATTGGCTTGCAGAGTATTACAGTTGATGCAGTTAACTGATGCTCGGCTAGCTCAAGGTGGCTTTTGTGAGGAGTTAGAGTTGGCAATTCTCAGCTTTTTTGAACAATTTCGTAAAATTTACATTGGAGATCAAGTTCAGAAAACATCAAAAGTATATCGTCGCCTATCAGAAGTATTAGGACTAAGCGAGGAAACTCAAGTTCTCAGCATATTTGTTAGAAAGATAATCACAAATCTAAAATATTGGGGTGTCAGTGAAATGATCATCTCGAAAACTTTACAAATTCTCAATGATTTATCCGTCGGCTACAGTAGTGTACGAAAACTGGTCAAACTAGAGGAAGTTCAGTTCATCCTAAGCAACCATGCAAGTGATCATTTCCCATTCCTGAGCAACGCTGCTCCAATCAATCAGATGCGATGTCGATCAACATTTTACACATCATTGGGTAGATTGTTGATGATCGATCTCGGTGAAGATGAGGAGAAATTTGAAGTTTTCATGAGGCCTCTAACCGCAGCCTTCGATGCTCTTGGATCAATGCTTCTTTCACCTGATCCCTCAATCTATGATACAGAGGAAGCAAAGGTAAATTCACCATTACAATTGATCTTCCAGTAAATATTAATCAATATCAATCTAATTTACAGAAAGCTTTAATTGGAATAGCCAGAGACCTTCGTGGCCTTGTCTATGCATTCAATACCAAAACCAATTATATGATGTTCTTTAATTGGATGTAAGTAAAATTGTTCAAAAATCTTTTTTTTATTCCAATTCGTAAATTGTCCTAATTATGATTATTATTATTTTTCTTATTCTATTCTAGTTATCCTGCTTACACTCCCATTTTCCACCGAGCCATCGATCTATGGTATCATCTACATCAGGTCACTACACCAGTTCTTAAATTGATGGCTGAACTTGTTCAAAATCGCTCTCAAAGGCTCCAATTTGATGTATCATCTCCAAATGGTGTTCTTTTATTCAGAGAAACAAGTAAAATGATAGTCAACTTTGGAAGTCGAGTCTTAACCATGGGCGAGATTCCACAAGATGAAATTTACCAGCGTAAATTGAAAGGTGTTTCTATCTGTTTTTCCATGCTTAAATCCGCTCTTTGTGGTGGTTATGTTAATTTTGGTGTCTTCAGAATCTATGGTGATGCAGCTTTGGATGATGCATTAAATATATTCATCAAATTACTCCTTTCAATATCGCAAACCGATCTACTTGTAAGTTGAATTGGCGAACCAAACAACCATGAAAAAGCTTCTCTATGGGTCACTCATTGAGTTTACCTTTCGTTTTATTAACAATCGTTTTTTTTTCCAACTATTTCTCTTATCCATTCAGAACTATCCAAAGTTAAGCCAAACCTATTACATTCTGTTGGAATGTCTTGCTCAAGATCACATGAACTTCCTTGCCCATTTAGAACCACACATTTTCCTGTACATCCTTTCATCCATATCCGAAGGGCTTAATGCTCTTGACACTATGGTTTGCACTGGATGTTGTTCAACACTGGATTACATTGTGTCGTATTTATTTAAATTGTTATCCAAGATGAATAGTTCCGTTGGTAGAGAGCAAGAAACTTGCCTTAAGGTTTTAAAAATGAGCCCGGAAATCTTACAGCAAATGTTAGCCACCATTTTGAATATTATTATGTTTGAAGATTGTAGGAATCAGTGGTCAATGTCAAGACCCTTGTTGGGTTTAATTTTACTCAATGAAGATTATTTCCAACAATTAAGACAACAATTAATCTCCTCACAACCACCCGATAAACAACCAGTGATGGCTCAATGGTTTGACAATCTAATGAGAGGAGTTGAAAGAAACCTTCTCACCAAAAACAGAGACAGGTAAACAATTTATTGATCCAATCAATTTTCCAAGTTAATTATTCTGATCCATTTGTTTTGTTTTTCCTTCATTTCTCCTCACAGATTCACCCAAAATTTATCTTTATTCCGTCGTGATATAAATGATTCAATGAAAGCACCAGCTCTTTATAGCAATTCGACAATAAATTTCCCTGAAACATCCGCAATGATGAGCTGTTCGTGAACCATTTTCAAAGTTCTTATTTTTGCTATAAAATCGGAGACACAAAATTTAAAAGAAAATGGATCTTGTAAAGTGTCAATGGAAACGATTCAATGGATTAAACATTATTGGCGATTTTCCCTTGACCATCACGAACTCACATTTTCTTACTTCTTCTTTTGCTTTAACCTTTTCTCTCTTTTTTTTCTGTTTCTTTTCTCCTTCTCTTACCTTTTCTTACTTTTCTTCTTCTTCTTTTTCCTCCTCTCTGTTTATCTCTGTCTCTATTGTACCATCGATGGATATTTTTTTAAATTTATTTAATCAAGATCGTTTACCTTCATAAATAAGAAGAGAAGTTATTGAAATGTATTTTACCTGATATCCTTTTTCTTTTAATCAACAATTTCTATTTGCGTAGGTTTTTCCTTTGTGTATCTTGTACATTTGATTTTTTTTAGACTTTTCGGTGAATTCACTTTTACATGGAGAGCAACTTTTACAAGTTTCTTGTAGATTCTTTTCTGTTTTGTTTGTATAAATATTTATGAAGAGGATTCTTTAGTTTTTGGCTTTTCGATAGGCCGGATCGTAGAACGGGATTTTTCAATCTATAATATTTGTCATATTTATCGTGGTTTTCTTTATCGTCACTTAAATCCATCTCGAAGTCATAGAGTTTTTCTTCATAACTATGAACAGCTATTATTTCATTTTCCTGGTCACTTCCATAGATTGATTGATTTTCCGGTTTAAGGTTTTCGGTTTCCATGTCATCATTTTGATCACTTTCGTTGTCTTGATCAACATTTACCACTACAAGTTGCTCAGGATTCACATCACTTTCCAATGTTTCACTATTTTGGGAACCTTGATCATCTTCGTCTCCTTGATCATCCTCGGTATCCTGGTACTTTTCCCATCTATTATTCTCGGTAATTTGGTGACTCTCGACTCTTTCATCATCTCCACCACCTTGATCCATCTCGACTCTTTGATCACTTTCATAACCTTTGTCACTTTTGACTCTTTCATCATTTTCATCATCATCATGTCTCATTCCAATAACAACGATATCACCTTCGTCAATAAGAATTTTATAATCACCAAGTTCTAATTCAATATTTTCAGAAGAAAAAGACATTTAATTCAATTTGCACAAAGAAATAACAATTAAACTAATTAACTTGACAACAATTGAACAGATTGGAAAAGAAAATTCAAAAAAAGAACAAAATTTATTCTCTTTAAACAGTTACTTCTACAATCGATAGATGGCGCAGTTTAAGAATTTTTTTCTCTAATTTTTCAATGAAAATTTATTTTCGAAACTTAAATTGTCTCAATTAAATTAATTAACAACTAATTAGTGAATTCAAGAAACTCAACAAAGTCTCTTGTTCATCTTAACGGAAAATTCATTCTTCAAAGTTACTTGCAGGAAGAAAATTCGGTCAATTGTTTGCAAAACTCGACAAATTAAGTTTAATTGTAATTCGATTGAAAATTAAATTGTTCTAGACTATTTAGGAATAATTAGTTGGTAATTAATGGAATTTTTTTGTCAATAAAACGAAAAAATCAAGGTTTTCAATCAAGTAATTATCGTTAATTGTCGAGGTTATTGTTAAGCAAACAAAATGCAATATTAATTAATTGTCATCCTTGATTATTTAAAATCAGAGAAAATATCAAACAATCAAATTAAATTTAAAGAAAATCAGAGAATCTTATTAACTCATAGATTAGATTATAATCAAATTAATTCTATAATTATGAATGGCCCTTAATTGTAGAAAATTTAACTAAAAACATCCTTTAATTGTAAAGCAATTAAGTTTTTAGAATGAGAAAAATTTTGTTCAATTTGATTGGAAACAATTAAATTGTAAATAATTAAAAATCTGGTTGTGGCTTAATTAACTTTGAATATCGACTTTGTATAAAAAGGAGGTTAATATGACAATTTAAATCACTTAAATAATTTACTCCAAATTGTTATCATCAAATTAATATTTCAATTGACAACAATTTAATCACTTGATTAAATCTATTGATCAAAACAAAAAACAACAATGAGTTCAATCAATCTAATCTTTCAAATTGGTGTTTTATTAATTGTTTCAATGATTATTGATTATTGTTCAGCTCAATGGGGATCATATGGATCAGGTAAGTAAATTAATTAAATGAATCAACTCGAAAACACCAAACAATCAATTCTAATTTTGATTACATGTTAAGGTGATTACGGAGGTTATGGTAATGGTGGCTATGGAGCTGGAGGTAACTAAATCAACTAATTTCTGATCAAAGGTGTTCATTGATTAATTTTAATTCTTAATTGTTAGGTTATGGTGGATATGGATACGGATATCAACCCAATTACGGATACGGAAATCGCTATGGGTCAATGCCTTATGGAAGATCATCTTATAATAATTACAGAGGAATGAGGAGATTCGGAATGTACGGAAGTTATGGTTACAATTAAGCTAATTGTTGACAATTAGTTGATTTTCCAACAGTTTTAAAGGACACTAATTGTTCAATGTTGTTAAGTTAATCAAGAGAGTTAATTATTTTTTAATGAAAATAAAATTAAAGTTAAAGTTTAAAACTTTGGGTTAATTTTTTTCTTCCAATTAATTTGATTTTCCATTGAAATTTAATTGCTAACAATTAACTTTTTCCTAAGAAACTGTTTTCATATTGATTAATATCATAATTAGATGATTCATTTCAATGATAATTATTTGTTTTTTTTCACCAGCAATTAAATTAAATTGTTTCAATGTTTATTCAGGTATTTTTGTTAATTGTTTATTAATTATTTGTTTACAATTTTTTTAAATATAAAAGATAAACAATCAACAATTAAATTGTTATAATGAAAAAAAAATATTAATTCTTAAATTGGATTTGGCTAATTAAATAAACTGAAAGGATTTCTATTGAAAACAATTAACTGAACGGCTAATTAATGATTATCATTAACGGTCAGAGAAAAATTTTAATCATGAAAATGTCAAGTTTTAATTAATCAATTCCGGGAACGATAAACTTAACAATTCATGAGGAGATTGTAACTAAATCAATTGTTGAATATAAATAGTTGGAAATTGTTTCATATGATCAACAATTTACTGTAAACTATTGATCAACAAACTAAATTTATTTCCAATAACAACAATCTAATCAACACCATGGATCAAATTAAATTGTGTTTAGTGTTTCATTTGATTATCTTATCGTTAATCGTTTATTTTAATTGTGTGGAAAGTCAATTCTATGGTGGAGGATTTAATGATAATTATAACCAACAAAGATCCTTTTCAAGAAGAGGATGTATGTAGAAATTAGTTAATTGTCAAATTGTTGGTTCTAATTATTAATTTGATTGTTATTCAGATCGTTGGATCAACATTGGCCTCGGTTTTCCGGGCTACGGAATGAGACGGAACTTTGGTTCCTACAGTGGATTTAATCAATATGGAGGATCGAGTACATTTGGTGGACGATATGGGAATAGTTGGTACTAATTACTGGACAATTAGCCAACAATTAAAGTTCCATCGGTGTAAATACAAGTAAAAGAAATATAAATTCTGAGCTGTATATAAACTTAATCGATTCTTAATCAAATTAAACACTTTGGACTAATCAACTAATAGTAATCTATAAATATCGGTAAAAAACCCACAAAACACTAATCACAATCAACTAATCATCGTGTTTATTATTGTCAATGATCACAATGAGATCAACAACTTTTGTCTCATAATCAATAAGATTGGAAATCAAATTAATCAACAACAATTGAAGTGGCAACAATTGAACGATAAGATGAATTCAATTTGTTATATTGACAATTTTTTTTAGTTATTCACTTGCTTTCCAAGCAATTAACAAGACGAACATGCTAATTAAATTAATTTTTCTTACATTTTGCTTAATTAAACTCATTAAATCAGATGAAATTTGTATTGATTTAGCAAATGATCAGAAAATTTCTGTATCATCAATTGCTAAGGAGGATTGGTTAACAAGCTCTTATCCAGTTTGTGCTTCATTTAGTAATCAAATCAATAAAACAGGGTAAGTCTTACATCTTAATCAGTAACAATTAATCAATTCCTCTCTATTTACCACCACAATTAATAAAATTTAGATGGGCAAAACTTCACGTTTGGACTCAATCTCAATCTAATTACAATGATTCAACTCTGGCCTATTTGGCTGGTTACATTGAGGGCTACCTAACCAAGGATTTAATTAATATGCATTATGACAATTTATGGGAAAAATACTGTAACGGAGAAATGGCCTTTTGCCGTCGAGCTTTTGACTTTTTCGCTCAGAATGAGGCCTACATTGAACGAGAAGCGATCGCCAACCGAGATACTGATCCATACTGGAATCAGGTTGGTCTGATTTTAGACCAATTAACTGGAATGGAAGAAGCAATTAACTCGAGATCAAGTTACCATCCCGGTTATCGTGTTAATACAACGGGTAAAGTTTATCTGGTCAACACTGTGGCCGATATAATGGATTTAGAAAGTGCCCTTAACCGGACAGTTAAAACTCTTGCTGTTGGTCAGTCTTTTTGCTCTTCTTTGGTTCGTTACACTGGAAATGATTTGCTAATTGGTCACAATACTTGGACACAATTTGGTTACATGTTACGTGTATTGAAAAAGTATGAGTTCAATTTTAAAACAACTTCGTCCGCAGGTAAACTTGTACCAGGATCAATGATTTCCATGTCATCTTATCCAGGGATTATTTTCTCAATTGATGATTTCTATCTAATCTCATCTGGATTAGCAGTCGCTGAGACAACGAACGGTAATCATAACGCCACAAGTTTTGATCTACTTCGCCCAACGAACTGTGTTCTAACCATGATTCGAACCATGGTAGCTAATAGATTAGCTCGTGATGGTAAATCTTGGGCAAAAAATTTCGAAAAGTTCAACAGCGGAACCTACAATAATCAGTTCATTGTCGTCGATTATAACAAGTTCCAACCTGGATCGACAAAAAGACCCACCGATCTCCTATGGATTATTGAACAAATGCCCGGAAGCGTCGTCTACGATGATATGTCATCAACCTTAATTACTAACGGTTATTGGGCAAGTTACAATATTCCTTATTTCCAGAAAACTTATCACATTGCCGGTTATCCTCAATTAGTAAACAAATATGGCGATTTTTATATCCACGAACTTAATCCTCGTGCTAAACTGTTCAGACGAAAGCACATCGAAGCTTTTGATCATAAATCACTTCTTCAATTGCTTCGTTACAACAATTACACCCAAGATCCAGAATCTAAATGTAATTGTACTCCACCTTATTCAGCATCTATGAGTCTCGCATGTCGAGGTGACCTTAACGATCCGTCGGGAATTTATGCAATTCCCTCTCAAGGAGTAATCAATGAAGCAGCGATCGATACCAAAGTGACCTCATTTGAACTGTTCAACAAGTTGAAAATGTTCGCAATTAGTGGGCCAACTTACGATAATGTTCCTCCTTTCTCTTGGTCAAATTTCACTCTAAGAGACCAATTAGTCCACAAAGGTCACCCTGACCTTTGGATTTTCAAGCCGATCTATTTTCCTGACAATTGATCATTTTGTTAATCGAGAGGATCAACAACCAGTAACAATCTAATCATTGATTTAAAAAGAAAATGATACAACTCGATTTCCTATCAAAGATTAAGCTAATTTGATTATTGTCGATTGTTAATCAATTGTAGAGATTAAAATCTCTAATGAAACGAACTAAATTGTTTGGATTTGATTCCATTTTTTTATTTACTTTTGGAAGGACATTTTAATCAAATGTCAACTAAGAAACGACTTCAATTAAATCGTATGATTAAATGATTGGTTTCACTTTTGTTAATTGTTGAAGGATTTGATTTATTAACTTTTTCAATTGGATTATATTGATTTCCCATTTTAATTGTAATTGATTCCCATAAATTGACAATAGATTCAAAAGGTTATTTAAAGGTTAGGCGATTGGAAGAGATGAGATTCATTTAATTGTGTAAATTTAGTTAATTTAGGTTTTTGAACAATTAAGTGTTGAGTTTATATAACAATTAGTGAAAAATAGTAACAATAATAACGATAGTTAACTTTGATTGAGCATTAATCATCAACGTAACAATTGAAAATTTTCCTTCGAGAAATAAATCATTTTGATTGAAATCAGATTCTTAATACATATCAAACCAGTAGAAGCCAGAAATTTAAACCCTTCTATTAAAAAAATCTTAATTATAAAGACAATAATTACACAATAATGATTGTTTGAACAATTAAAGATCAACACTAGTCAAGGTAATTGAGAAAATAATTTCCTAAATATGATAAATGGGAAAGTTAATTAGTTGATTTTCCTGGTGGGATTTTTTTTTCATCATTGCACATCACAGAGAGACATTTACAGTTGCTAAATTGGTGAATTAATCAGTGGGTTAGTTGCAGGTAAATGAAGGACGGTAAGAAAATCAATTAGTTGATTCAATTGTTTTGATGGCACATTTGGTGGTTAATTTAAATTGTAGAATTTTTTAAAGTGGCCTCTCGTCGTTTAAGAGATCCACTGGTAAATGCGGTAAGAATCAAGCCGATCAATAAGGAGAGACAAAACATTACATTACAAACGGTGTGTCCAAATTTATTGACGGTGAGCGTTGATAAGAAGATCAGAATAATACCAAAGAACTGAAATTGCGAAGAAAAAAAAATAATTAGTTTGGATTATGGAGTTAATTTGAATATTGGAAGTGGAAAATTGTTGCGTTACCTGAGCTGAGGCGTTTAGTATACCGGCTGAGTTACCTTCGGGTTGGGGATAAGTTATTTCAGCTGCATATTCAAACCCGATGGGAAGGTAACCAGTCATGAAGAAGCCGAGAAGAGCTGAGACGATAAAGACCAAAACCAGGCTGTATTTGAGCGAAATAGTGAAACCGATCAGGCCAATTAGCGAGAATAAGTAAAGAGAGAAAACAGTTTCCTTGTATCGATGAGTTTTATCGAGAATGTAACCGCTCACCATGGAACCTAATGTTCCAACAACCGTTATAACAGCACCAATATTACCAGCGGCAGATTCTTGGCCTGGAAATGCTGAAGAGATCATTTGATCGAGAACGGTAGAAATGGCATAAAATACGCCGACATTGATTCCATAACTGAGTGTTAACAGAATCATATCAAGATCAGTGATTAGCGTTTTCACAGATTGTAAGAAATTCAAGTCTTCTTGATAAACGTTTGCTCGAGCGGCGCTGTTACTGGGACACTTTTTAGGTTTATCCTCGAAAAACAAACAGATAAAGATAAGTAATAGTCCAGTGAAAATCGCTAATCCATAATAAACGTAAGAAAGTTGCTGAGCTATTCCATTGGTAGTCGATGCGGTGACAATTAAAGGAGGTAAGAAAAAGCCAAAACAAACACCCAATTGATTCCCGAAAACACCTATTGACGTGGCCGTTGACACTTCCCGTTCACCGAACCAAACGGCGGCCAATCTTGGGGGTAAATTCAATACGAAAAGATTACAAATAGCGACCACAGTTTGTCCAATCATCGTTAACCAGAATCGATTCGGATTTAAACTTGCACATTTGATCAGTGATCCTAAAAATGTTCCAGTAGATCCAAGGAGAACCGACCATCGAAGGCCAAAACGATCAAGAAACCATGAGGCGGGAATCATTCCAGGTACAAAAACAAACATGTAAATCATTGAAGTTAAATTAACTGATAGATCATCAATCTGGTAGAAGGTGGAAATTTTTCCGGTAATGATTGAATATTGTAACCATTGGAATGCATTGGAAGCTGAGTAAAGGCAGAAAAGAGTGAGAATGAAAAACCTCTTCTTATACAATTTAATGGATGATCCATCTTCTAATCCCTTAATCCCAATTGTGAAACCATTCGGTTCATTTGAATCTGTTGAATTCATTTTATAAATTACACATGAAACTGAATCGTCATCACTGATAAATGAACTATAAGAAGCCACTGTTGTGCTATTACAAGTTTCATCGTTTAATTTTGGTAACACCTCCACTCGCTCCATCATTTCCTTGTTGTTAATTGTTGTTAATTCTGCTTGGAAACTCCAATGATGGCCAATAATTTAATTCTCTCTCTACGTAATCTAAATGTCTAAATACATAAACATTGAGAAAGCAAAAGAGAAAACATTAAAAAGGTAGAAAAACAAATTGGAGGGAAAAGGAAGAAAACAAATTAGCTTTGATTAACATTTTACATTAACATAATCAAGTCAATCAAGTGATGGAAAACAAATTCACACAATTAGTGATCAAGGTTGATAACAATTAACTCAACCAATTAGCCATCGGTGAGTAACAACAACATCAACAACAAGAATCAACCACAAAGGCGATGATGAAACAATAGAGTCAATTGTTGATCTTATTCAGAGACATTCAATCAAATCAGGTAATCAATTAGTTAATTAGTAAATTCAACTTACATGGAGCTAATCACAACATGGTTATCACAATTAACTAACAATTAAGTACACTTGGAAAAAGATTTTCTTAAATGTAAACAATGTGGTCACCTCTTTGTACCAGCCAACGAAAAGTGAACGCGGTTAATTTTTCGTAATTTAAATTGAAACTGATTCGAAAAATTTTTCTTCTAAATTGTTTGAGTAAATTGGTTCATTTATTGTGTTAATTAGAGTCAATTGTGAATAGAAATGATCAAATAATGATGATTATTTCTCAAGATCAATTGGAATTGATTGAAATTGTTTCATGTCTATTATTAGATGATAATCTTTACTTAATTAAATCTCATTTTCTGCAATTTTGATTGATTTTTTTTCCTTCTTTTGATTAATCATCAAATCACTTAATCATAATCAAAATCAATGGAAATACAAAGTTAATTGTAACCAGGAATATGCCCACATTATATTGGATTAAAATTTATCATGGTTTCAATTGGAACTCATTGATTCATGTTTATTCAGCAAAAACAATCAACTGATTAAACAAACATGACAATTGTTGATTCATTGATTCAACAATTAAGTTGTAAATTAATTTTGATCAATCAAAAAATATTATTAATTGAGAGAAAATAATATTCAAATGAATGATTAATTAATCAGTTTATTTGTACACTTGATTTGGTTAAGCTAAATTCACTAATTGTACTAATTGTCATTTCCAATTCAACTAAACATTAAATTAATTGTTTCTCTTAATCGTCAACAATTAACTATTCAAAATTTACCACAAATCTACTCACTAGATGGAGACTTTGTATTTGAACTGCCTTGATAATGTATTGAAATTGAATTAATCAGTTGATTAGTTGATTGTATCCCAAATGGAATTAAATTAAAAAGTTAATTGTAATTAATTGAGAAAGTGATGAATTTGATACAAACTTTGGTAAGAAAAAAGAAACGAGAAAAGTTCAGATTTAAATGAGAAAATGTTGACATGAGTAAATCATTGAAAAGAAACAGATAATCATTGAATAATCTTATGATCAGGTAATTAATCAAGAATGATTGAAGTTCAATCAATTTGATACATGAAATTGTTGATTAAATTAGCAAAGGGTTACACATAGAATTTAATTCTCGGAATTAAATTAACCTTGAAAATTTGATAAATGTCAAGAAATTAAAAGTTCACCTTAAGCGAGAGATGAATTTTAATTGAATCTCATGATGGATTCTTCATGTTATTTTGCCGATAATTCACTGAATTCAAAAATTCAAATTGTCAATCACCTAGAGAAATCAAATAATCTTTAGAAAATTGCGAATCAAATCAATGGAAATCATTGGAAAAGGTAAAACATCAACAATATTAAAATCGCTCCAAGGTAAAATTAGAAAAAAATTTCTCAATCAATTTCATTCATCTATTAATTTCAATCTCTATAGTAAATCTAATTTATCAATGAACATTTTCAAAAGTATCGCCATCAATTCATCTTCCCCATCATCATTATTTTATCATCTTCATCGTCCTACTCTCCTCATCTTTACTTGATTCCACCCGCTCCAGGCCAAAATTATTACTTAATTTTCCTCTCAACCCTCCTCTTTACCTTAGAATCATTCAAATTATCAATTTCTTTTTTTTTCCTTCTTTCTCTTAACATGGAAATCAATTGATTCATGATTACAATTTAACCTGACAAACTAGTTAACCTTTGAGAGATACTTCAAATCAAGGGGTCAATCGATTGACTTGCCAAACTTTTATCGTTATTCAAGTTTTCATCAATGAACATGATATTATTAATAATAGTAAAAGTAAAGAAATTAATTTAATTTGTTTTGTATAATTAGTTGATATCCAAAAAATATGATCAATTGAGATAAATTATTAATCGATCAGATCTCCATGGTCAATACTTCATTTTTTTTGATAAAAAAAAATCTTGACCACTACAAAAGTCCAGAGTAAAAGTCAATGTAACATAAAGTATATTTGTTGGTCATTACTCCCAATCAGTGTATCAATGTGATTTTCTTGTAACCAAATATTGTAGTGGTCATCGTCGCGCGTCAACATTGACATATGTAGAGTGACCAATGGTCAATCTGCAAAGAGAGAGAGAGAGAGAGAGAGAGAGAGAGAGAGAGAGAGTTAAAAGATTAGAACCAGGAAGAGCTTTTTTTGGCAAACAACAAAAAAAAATAAGATTTTCGAGCAAAAAAATGTGTTGAACACGAATAACATTGTAACAATTGTTTATGATTGGCAGGTATCGAGTATTGGTCAAGACAGACTGTCCGATCATCGAAACGGTCTCTCTCTCTCTCTCCCTTTCTCTATGTTCGATTGATGAAAGGTAATAAGGAACAAGGAACAAGGAACCACACTTGACCCTCTACTCTAAAAAATGTCTCATTCTCTGCCCTTCACGGGTTAAAGTTTCGAATCTAATTTTGAATAAAATTGACGAGAAACTGATTCCTTATTTTTCCTCTTCTTTTATTTTCTTCTTTCTCTTTTTTTTGTAATAGCTCAATAGAGTGGTCAAGGCAGTGAAGTCAGTGAGTGGACAGTAAGGTCAATACAATCACGGATACATAGATAACAAAAAAAAAGGTCTAAAACCGATTTGCTACGATCATAATGTTAATCGATAATTTTTGATACAATCATTTTCTATCTAAAATGTTAATAACAATTTACATTAGGGTTTCTCATGAAATCTCCCGTTGTTGACTATCAGCTACCTGTTTATCTATGATCTGTGACTGATATTTTCTTCTCTCTCACCAATTACCTTTATATCTTACCTTGTCGTTAGAAGAGTCCAATGGATCAAGGCCAATTTTCTCGATGATCCGTTGACATTTTGTCAAAAAAGGACAAGACGGCCAAGGGGAAAACCTCCCTCATCTATCTTGGTAACACTCCTATGGAACATCCTTTCAATCATCATCTTCACTTCCTTGTTCCTTGTTCCGTGTTACCTTGATCCACGATCTTCGATCTTCGATCCTTTCGTGACCTTCCAATAATCTAAATTTGTTCTTCCAAAAAGTGCACAATAACAATGGAGCGAGAAAAAAGATCTTGTAATTTGAGTAACTAACAAAATCGAAAGATTTGTCAACCACCAATACGAAGATCAAAACTACAACCACCTATTAAAATCAATGAAAATCCTTAATCCGAAATTCAATTTTCGTTGATCCGATTACCTTGAATAATTACTGTTATAATTAATCGGTAATCAGTTGATTCGTTTAACTTTCTGACCTTTCAACTAATTTACTGTTGATATTTTGTTTCTCTTTCTTTTTATCTCTATGTTGATAAAATCTTTCCACTAAATTGTAATCACGATGATCCATTTAACCTTTGCCAACCTTAAGGTCAACTTATCCGATCGAGTTATCAATTTTTAAAGAGAAGCTGAAATTCGTGATTGATCCTCACGATTGATCAAAAAGTTAAGTTCTAAGGCTACTTGTTGATCATTTTGTTTTCTTCCTCCATCATCCTGATAATTGTCTTTACCATTGGTGTGAAGGTGAAAATATTACCTGTTAATCAACATAAAAAAAAAGTTAACATTGTAAATCTGTTAACAAGATTGACAAACAAACAAAGGTAAAAATATATAAGGAAATTCAATGAAATGTAACGGATCCCTTGTCAACACCCATTCAGTTTAACCTTTAACCTGTCAAATTTTGACACCAATTTGACAAGATTGTTCACCAGCAATTTTACCCACAACTAACCAATATCACCTAACAAGTTTGTCCCTCTTGTTGTGTGGTGGGTGGTTTACATAATCAACCCACCCAATCAACATCTACAGGTAACAATTAACCATATGGATCATCATAAAAGTTTAACCAATCAACCGAGAATCTGATCAATCATTTCAATCCAATTGAATCAATTTAATTGATAAAACCATCGATGACTGATATTTCCTCCCACCGATCTCATCATCATCATCATCATCTAACCGGAAACTTGGAAACAATTTCATCTCTTACCTTTGAATCCTAATCAACATCACCAAAGATCAACAAAATCTTCATTAATTTCAATAACTTCTGGACAGAATTTCCAACAACAACAACAAACTCCGTAGCTCGATTAACCCGTTAATCCAATTCCAATAAACCAATTGCTTATAATTTAACCAAAATGGATCAACTTAATCACAGAACCAAAGATTATACTCTAAATACAATTTGAATCGCTTGTTGACCAGATAAGTTGATCATCATCAACAACAACAGCAAAAATGGGTCATCATCATCATCTTTAATAATATTTAGGTGAAGATAATATCAAGAAAATGGATTGAGAGATATAAAAAAAACGGATAATAGTTAATCGCGTTAATCAAATGATAATCTAAAGCATATTAGACAAGCATAACATGAATAACATGGCAAGAAAATGAATTGAATTGAAATTCCAACTCGTAATGATGATAAGTATCATTGTTATTATTACGATTAACCAAATGATAAAAATAATAATATTATTAGTAACAATGAGGAATCACCTTTAATCCCTGCTCGGATAATAAGCTAATCCAAGGAAAAGGATAATAATAATTTCACATGAATTTAGATAAATAACAAGTTAAATGTCAACTTAACAATTTAAATGATTAGATTGGATACAATAAATTGATTGTTATGATCTGAAAAGAAATGAATCAAGAAGATAATCAAAATGCAATGGGAACAAAACAAAACTGACCAATAGCACCAAGAAAAATGTAATAGCAACAACAACAACTCGATAAACATACTGACCAGTGATGATAATATTTTGATAAAATTGATTGCGATCAACAAAAGGATAAAGTAAATAGTGAAAGGAAAAGAAGCAAAGAAAGAGAGATAGAGAGAGAGAAAGAGATAATCTCCTTTAATCATGTTGATTATGGTGAAAACAAATCGTAGGAGATAATCTGCCAAAAGGATTGTTATTATTGAATTTGGAGGGCGAGAAAACAAAAATGATGTGTAAACAAAATGAGAGAGAAAAAAATTTCCAGGTAATAAAGGAAACAGAACAATTTGTGAACTAATAACAATTTACCTTTACTACATTTTGGTATCTCTTGTATTAAGGGATTAACGTTGATCCCAAACAACAACAATTGTTTAATTCTAATTTCAATCTTGACCACAAATCTAAACAGTT